AAATCCAATAATGATTTGAGTTTTTAAAATAATAATTAATTTTTTATGTCGACAAGAAATTGATTTGGTGATGTTAGCGTAAAAAAATTTTACTGCCAAAATTTATTTATTTATCAAGTCATAAAAAGCTTGCATGTATGATGGGTATGCAACAGGGTTTGACATTCTTCCTGGAATAGCTAACTGACTTCAAGGATAGGGGATGAGATAGGGGTACAATCAAAGCAAATCGCTTGATTTCCTCTTGCTAATAGTAGGCTACACCCCGAGGCTTTTAAGATAGAACCGAGGGACATACTCTTGTAAATGTCACTTTATTGTATGAATTTCGGAAGCACTCACAAGTAAATAACGGACTGAAGAGCTTTCAATCCACTGCTCGTCCTGCGTGAAAACAGTTGCTTCACTCTTGCACTCGCAATTATGTAATTAATGAGTCACCATTATCAATTGACTTTGTTCGAGCGGTCATATCATGTAGCAAAACACGCATCTAATATCTTGCACTCATAAGAGCATATTATTCTTCCAGTATATACGCTCTCATATTTTTTGAATGAGCAAAGCATTTTCATATAGTGTACAACATGGTTAACGAAGCCTTATCTTCACGGCCAGCCATCGATAGCTTCCCTTTGCAAAGGACTTCAGTTGCTATTCAAAAAATGATATCTCCACAACAATCCATCCCGACACAACAGCAACCAAAGAAACGTAGCAAGTTTGTTGACATACAGTAGCGGCTAACACAGAGTCTGGGGTTAACAAGACCCACACAACAGTCCATCTCTACGCAAGGTACTGGACAGTAATTGAAACCTGACTTGATCATCTCAACCTCATCATATGTAAGGATTTTATCAAAGTTGAATCAAATCTCAACTTGTTGCAGGTGACAGCGCATCTGCAGAGCCTAGCACAGATGGTGCTTCAGCCAATACCCCTCTTACTTGCAGCTGGATTGCAGCTCTTAATGGATGTCCAGTTCCTGAGTTTCCCCTTCAGTACTGTGCAAGATGAAGCATTGGGACAGTCCATCATCTTTGTGCTGCTGAAAATTTTGCCAATCAATCGGAGCTCAACCTTGGGCAAATCCAACTATGCTTTGATTGCAACTTTGGAGATGAAGTCGTCGAGGTTTTTGCTGCATCGGGTAAAAATATATTGTGGTCAGCTATTTTTGAAGCAACATAGACCCTAATGATCTCAACCATATATGAGCAGTTTCTTGCCTCCATTTGTATACCAGATGTCAAGCGGGCAGGCAAGAAGTGGCAATACAACCACATCATCTAATGCCAATAAGAAGAAGAAGTATGGTGCCTTAGATTTGACGGTGCAAAGTTGGATGAAGAAGTATGTTTGGGCTACATTGGTAGGCAGTAAAGAAGATGGAAATCTCATGATAAGATACTCCATTTGCACAGAAGCACATATAACCGCGAATAACTTTGACTCCAAGATCGGCGCAATTTGCAAATATGCAAGTGAGTATAATTATGTTTTTGAATTTTTCAATACTTGTATAAGTGCGAAACTGGTACTACAATGTATGGAGTTTTTATAGGGATGTGATCTAATGTTTTCTTATGTAGGCTATGTCAGCGACCATGCTTCATCGACAAGGCGTAAAGCAGCCGTGTCAAAAGTGAAGCAGCGGCAAGAGTTTCAAAAGAGCAAAGCAATAGTTGTGTCGCATTCACACGTGACAACAAATAAACTTTTGCACATCGCGTTTTCTCTAGCCCATCTAGTTGTCTTACAGAATATGCCCATTTCAAAATGGGTTGTGCTGTTGGGGTGGATGGACAAAATCTCCCAATGCATGCACTACATCATGTGTGTGATCCTTTCATTCAAGATTACTAACATCTAAAACTTGTGAAGGCCGTAACAATATGTTTTCATTCGTGTGCCAACGCAGATACCTTGCTTGGCTGGGGCATCCATGCATAAACTGGAAGTACAACCAGAAGCACTACTTTTGGTCGTTCCACTCGGTGATCAGCAAAGGCCTTCTAGCAGCACAGTTGGCGAGTATAGCTTCTAGTACTTTCTATTCTGTCATATTGGATAATTCCAACGACATTTGCAACGAGTATCACTGCTTGATATTTCTCAAATCATTTCTCCTCATTTAGAAAAATTTTGCAGAAAATTGTTTCCGCTAGAATACACCTAGCAGTATTGATTAATCCTTGATCATGTTGTGCTGGAAACCGTATTAAGTAGTTACTAGGATGGGGACATTTGGGTGCCACGTTCGGAGTTCCTGTGCACCGTTAGTGTGGGCGAAAAATCAGCAGAAGGTATGTACTAGATGCTATGCGCGGTGTTAGATGTCCTTGACATTCTAATATCAAAGATGACGGCAATCTGCACTTACGGTGACTCCACACTAATTGATAGTCACAATGGACTAAGCGCAAAGTTGCAAAGAACTGTGAGATATCTTTGAATGTTCATTGCGCAACACATAAGATTGTCTTAGCCCTTGGGGACACAGCCAAGGAAATGGAAGCTCTTCAAGAGTTAGACGTTATCCTGAAGGCGGTGCATAATCTGCTTAGCAAATCAGGATCTCGTCAAACACAATGGACATGCTTTGCAAGGAGGCGGGGTGTGACCAAACTGCAATTTCTCTTATTCAATGCCACTCGTTGGTTTTCCAGAGTTCAGTGCGTGGATGCATTACAAGAGAATTTAGCAACGCTAATTTTGTTCTTGAAGAGGAAGTCAGGCAAGAAGGGTTAGAAGAAAGCTGCAGACTTACATAAGTCCTTCATTGATGTCACTTTCATCTGGCTATTGCATGGTGTTGCTAATGTATTGAAGCCTTTAGAGGAATTTAGTAAGTATTTTGAGCATGACAACAACCTATCTCACAAAATTCTCGACCGGTTTGAGGTGTGTTTGTCTGCTCTCAAGGATATTTGTGGCTCTGAGGATCGGGTTGGTGGTGATAAATTGAAATAGTTCTTAATATTTGTTCAAAAGAACGGGCCACGAAGTATCTAATTTGGCAGGTCAATGAAAGCAATAAGATTTCTTTGATAGATCACTCTGGTTTCAATGTGAAACACGTTCATGTGTTCATCAAGGTGCTGGTGGGGAAAATTGAGTCAATTCTTTTGGAAGGTTTTTCCAAGGTACATGTGCTTAATGACTTCAAAATCTTTGATCCAACATTTTATGGAAGCCTAAAGTAGTAAGAGCTTAATAAATTTGGTGTGTCTAATTATAAAAATTTGTTGAGACATTTTTGCAAAAGGAAAAAAGAAAGAGTAGTTATTTTCAATTGATCTGTATTGTCTCAAGTCAACAAAGAGTTTTTGAGGATGAAGCACGTGTTGTGATCAGCGGCCAAGGACCCGCATGCAGAGTTCCTTCTTGTCTGGAGGGACATTCATGATGCACATGGGCTGGGGTTAGACTACATGCTTAAATTTGTGTATCTCTGTCTTGTCATACCACTCAAAAGTGTTAGTGCCAAGGGAGGTTTTTCTTTGCACAATAGTATCAAAACCAAGCTTAGGTATAGACTGCGTATCAAAATAATTGATGCCCTAATTCCGAGCAAGAATTAGGGCATCATTATTCCAAGCTGTGACTGCCCTTGAGTATGATGGAAATACAAATGATGGTGACAGTGAAGATCTTGATCAAGATGTTGAGGACAATGATCCAAATGAGCATGTTTTCTATGATGCTGATTCATCGGAAGATGATAAGGAACTAGTACTGGCAATTGTCGTCAAGGAACCTATTGGTGTTGAGTTGGAGGAGGAATTCATAGTTATTAAGGATGGGCACAAGTTGAAGGTAAATTTTAAGAGTACTAAATCTATGTTTCATTTGTTCACAAATGTGCATGCAAGCCATGGCAAAGTCGATACTCAAAGGACTCAGCACGGTTAGTGAAGCAGTTTGAATATAAAAACCTTGAAAAACAGTTTTGAGAAACCCTAGAATTTTTTCTATACACATTTGAGTGACCTCGAGAAATCAAGAATGTTGAAGTCAAAACTTTGGGACGTTTTATGACGACTTCCCGGCATGACCCGGTGATTTTCAGCCATGTTGTCAAATCCTGGTATGCAAACGTTAGCTTATTTGTAAGAAAATTGTAAATGTAGTTACTTCTATTTTTTTCATATCCTTAATAGCATATTTTCATGACATCATAATTTTTGAAAAGAAGTAAAATCATTTATATTGCTATATTTTTTTATCAAATGGATATAAATACATAACCGTGTTAATTTATAATAACAAGAGATTTAATTGAAAATCATATGTTGTCATTCAGAATTATTTTATAAACCGAGAATACATCTACATTGCATAAATATAAATGATTTTTTTGTTTTATGTATTTCTCAAAATATCATATATTGTAAAGATCTTGGGGATAATTAGCCTGAAATAACTATAGAAATGTGTGAACTTGCACATGGTCAATGAAGGTGGTTGGGCAGTTGATTGTCCATGGGTCTTGAACTGTACCTAGCTCTACCACCTGTGGCGGCTCGGGTCGAACCGCAGTGACGTCCGCCAAAGTTCGTGAACTTTCCCTGTGGCATTGAATAGGAGCACCACACGAGGCCTCTCACAAGGGTGGCCGATGCGCATTTTCTACGAGAAGATTCGAGGTGACTAGAGGTGAAGGTTCCTTCTTATCAGAATGAGAAACACTGTACGTGTCTCGGGGCAGGTTCATGCTTTCAGCGGTTAAGTCCTTAAGTCAAGCGTTTTTAAATTCATATTTGCTGTAATCTTTGTCAAAGAAACGAAACAACCATCTGGTTACAAATATGTGGGATAATATGGAAAATGGCGGCAGTACAGAGCGGAGACTCCACGTAAGCATCCGAGGGTGTCACCGAATGCATCTGCCTACGTGGTCGGTTCGTGGAACGGAACGGACCGCCAGGAGAGGCCGCTGCTCGTTGACGAGTCGAACTAGAGAGCGCCCGAGGCCCGAGACACGAGGCAGCGGACTGAGTGCATGGCGTCGCACAAATGTACAGCACCGGACAGGACTACGGCGATGTCCAGTCCCTCGTTCTCTGTCGTAGAGATACGAAGAGCAGGACTCGATCGGACCGCTCTTCTTTCGGTAATACGATCAGATTACGTGGGAAGTGTCGAAGCAGAAGAAGAAGAAACGACGGACGGGAAGGGAAGGGAAGGGAGCGGCGGGGCGAGTCGCGAGTGAGAGATAGAGAGAGAGAGAGAGGGGGGCGGCGATGGTTTTACTCCCGTGGCGTGGAACTTGTCTGCGCGGCGGTTGACACACTCAAAGCGTGCGGAGAATAGACGAAAGCGGTGGAGCGAGTGTAATTAGACCCGGAAAATAGCCGAGTTCAATTCGGCTAGACCCGCATTTGCCGCAGCTGCTCGGAAACTGTGTGACTCGGGTTGAGAAGGAGGAGGAGGAGGAGGAGGGCGATGGTTGCATTTGCATTTGCTCGGACAGGAGCGACAATGCATTGTACACTGCCTTCCTAATGGCCTTGTTGAGCACTGTTGCTGGATTCCTGCTGGAGTCTGTTGTTGTGGAGGGAGGAATTACACCAGCAATTCTGTCGTACATCCGTGCCGAGCAGCCGTTTCTGGATGGTCGTATGCATCATACGGAGTCGTCCTTGTTTTCCTCCCCGTTATTTGAGAGCGAGTGAACGCAGGATGGTCGTGTTTTGTGACACCGAATGAAGTGATCGGACGCGAGAGTGGAGGAGGAGCTTGAGTTTATTGCTTTGGAGAACAGATAATTCTGTGCGCGTTCTCTTCTCGCTCGGCGATTGGATAGGTAGATGGATAGTGCGACCGCTGGATTCTATCGACGCAAGTTGTGAATTCGCGACACTGAGTTCGAGACGGGGACTATCCCGGACAGCATTCGAGTCAATCCAAGCCTTTCCTCCTCTTATCATCTGCTGTCGGACTTTGATCTTCAAGTCCACTGAGGAGGGAGTCCTTCGCATATATCTAGAACATCCAGAGATGGAACCTCCGGATCGAGATGTGGACGCGCCGCTGCTGGATTTCCAATACAAAGATGATGTCGGATTGGACGAATTACCTACAGGGTCGGAGATGGTTCAGGAGGCGAAACACCAACTTCAAATTGGGGTGCCCATTGTTTTTATGGGTTGGTTGGATTTTACCGTCAACATTATAGGCGTCGCCTTTGTTGGTCACTTGGGTTCACTCCACCTGGCCGGAGCTGCCATGGCGGCCAGCTTTGCAAATGTGTTTGGGTTTGCCATTCTAGTGAGTCCTCCTCTTTCTCCCGGCCCTTACCTTGTAGCTCAATCCCACTGGAGTTTAGATTGAGGGATTGAAACGAGGTCATTGATTTTCGAGATGCCTCATTTGACAGAGCACATACACGACATTGGTATGATTATATTTTATGTGTATTGCTTTCGCCGAGCGTCTCCAATCGCAAGCGGAGCGTAATACATGGTTTGTACAAACGAAAATAGATATTTGTATTATGGAACAAGGGAACCACTGTAATCACAATGCCCTATCGTTTTTGCTAAATTCGCAAGTAATGTGAGTTTTTGCACCTTCGTACCTTGTGAAACTAAGACGGGATTCGTTTCTCAGGAGGGTCTGGCACAAGGATTGGAGACTACTGGTGGTCAAGCCGTCGGTAGTGGGCAACCTCTTTTGCTCGGCATGCTCCTGCAGAGAGGGCAAGTTGTGTTGGTGATGTTTTGTTTACCAATCGGCTTATTGTGGCTACATGCTACTTGGGTTCTCGAACGGTGGGGTCAGGTAAGCCGACAGAAGGAAAAGTTTCTCAGTTCTTTTAACGTAGAACTTCTTTGCTGATCGAATCCAAAGACGGCTAGCGCGGACGTCTACTGCTGGATACTGAATATAAATTTGCCGATGTGTTTGGAATTAAATGGTGTGACTTAATGTTTGTACACAATATTCCCTTTTTTCAATATTAGGTGGATACCGTGAAGGAATTGTGACAATATCTATTGTTGATTTCCAGGATCCTGAGATTGCAGAACTTGCGGGACAGTATGTGATTTATCTGCTTCCTGGTCTTTTTGCTACTGCTTTCTTCTTGCCGGTGGCCAAGTTTCTCCAAGTGCAGGGTGTTACAAGACCTCTGGCATGGGTGTCTTGCTTGGTTCTGTTACTTCACGGTCCTATGTGCTACTTGTACGTCTACATACTGAACATGGGATTTATTGGAGCGGCCCTTGCAACTAGCACGTCCAACACAACTACCCTAATCATTTTGGTGCTTTTCCTGAAATTCGAACGTTCCGGAATTCTCAGTCGAACCTGGCCTGGATTTTCCTTGGCAGCTTTCAGGAACTTGGGACCGTTTTTGGCTCTAGCACTGCCTGCATGTGCCATGACCTCGTAAGTCTTTTTCAAAAAAACTTGTGCATGTGTATATGTGTGTGGCATTCCTCTCTTCGCATCATGTTCCAGCCAGTCAGCCATTCAGGTCTTCGAGTGAACAAAGTATTGAAGAATATGCCTCATTGTGTTTCCAGGTTTGAATGGTGGGTTTGGGAAATCATTCAACTTATGGCAGGATGGCTACCACATCCTGAAGTTTCTGTATCGTCCATAACTATCAGGTGAGTTTTCTCAAGTATACGAGAATAAAAATTGTGGAGTTTTTTCCAGGTGTAGGAGAAAAGTACATTGTGGTTTGTTCTTTGTGCATTCTAAGTCTCCACTACATTATTCTCTAAAGGGTGAAAATTGTCTGGCGTTCAACAGTTTCCAAACTATCGGGATATGCTTCATGGTTCCTTTTGGTCTCGCCACAGCAACCAGGTATCGTGGAGATCGATTGTTGATTACGAGGCTTTACTTCAAGTTTTAATGCTTAAGAGTTTTGAAAGCAAACTTGTTTTCACTATTTATTAGGTCAGCGAGTATGGTTTTTGATTTCGGAACTGGCGAAAGAATGTAGTATGAGGTTGAGTTTCAGGTTACAACTTTCGCATGAATTAGAGCAACCAATCAATCGCATTTTGTTATTAATTCATCTATTTGGAAAATAGGAGATGGAAGGCTATTAGCTGCCAATAGGAGTCCCGGCATTAGAATCGTTCAGATCTTTGCTTGATGAACTCATTGAGGTTGATCGTGTATATCGCAGTGTACGAGTTGCCAATGAACTTGGGGCACAGAGGCCCGGGAGAGCAAGATGGGCTGTCATAGTCGCATTGATTATGACGTCACTACTCGGTGGTGGCCTTGCTTTATTTTTGCTGATAGTACGAAAATATTGGGCGCTCCTATTTGTCTCTGCATCTGAAGAAGATGTCCTGAGAACAGTTATCGATACAACTCCAGTCGTGGTAGTCGCGAGCATTGGAATTGCATGGAATGCCTGCTTCTCTGGTATGTTCATCCGGTGACTGGTTTGAAGCCCAATGTTATCTTTTCGATATTGTACGTCGGAGTCAAATGTAGCAGATGATAGTACACGCTGGGAAACACAAGAATGATTTGCGAACTAATTGAATTTGGATTGATACTGAGCTCAGGTGTACTAAGAGGATCCGGGCAGCAGTTGGCTGGATCTTTGATCAATGTTGTTTCTCTCTACGGAGTTTCGCTTCCAGTTGCATATCTCTTCGGTGTCAAATGGGATGGTGGTGTGCCGGTACGTGTAATCTTTTTATCATGCATATGTTCATTCAAGATCTGGCTTCGACCGAAGTCCTGCTTAGTCTTGACGTGAGTCAAACTCTTGTTGTAAGATCTGCTTTTAAGATCTTGATATGGATATGCCGGAGTCTGTTTTTTTGTCTGTTTTTTTGTCAAGGTTTTGGAACGTCATCGTGAATTCCATCTGTGCAGGGACTCCTGTGGGGAATGATGGTGGGATTTCTGTTACAATTGATTGGCCAGTCCGTTCTTACTTACGGAACCAATTGGGGATACCAGGTATGCAATGTGCACTGGGCTTTTGGGTCATTGTCTGTCCAATCTCCTGTACGAACGAGAGGAGCACTGCTGTGCACAGTTTGGAGTTAGCGAAGGCTGCTGGGAGTATGTTGTCAGCTTCATGGTAGGAAATGAGGATGAGTATTATTGATACCTTGGCTGATGTTTATTTGACGCAGGCGAAGAGAGCACTCAATACGGTGCGGAGTAACGACGACCAGACACAAACGAAATCAATTATTTATTGAAAACCTGTAGGTGTACATCAGCTGTAGGCGGAGTGGATTACGATCTCTGGTGAATGTCCAGCATTGCAATACCCAAAAGCGAGCGACGATGTTTGAGAGACCACGCAGGACCTGTGCCATGGTATGGACGTGGTTTGTAACCTTCTGCGAGCTCATGAGTACGCCACACGTAGCGACTGCTAACTATCCGTCGTTCGTTAATATTTATTACGGACAGTTCATGTCGTCTCTATGTAGAAGCTCAACATGGGGAAATTATTTTTTCCGATATGGTAGATAGGCGTAAAAAAATGTACACTATTTTAATTGACTCCCATGGCTTAAAAGGTTAGAATCTCCCTTCGCACTGCCAAAAGCGACAGTAAAGGGAAGGAGGAAAATAACAGGGGATGAAGAGGGAGAGGAAGAGCGAGGACTATTGAAGAGTGAAGAACTTTTTTCTCATAATAGAACAATTTTCCATGAATCATGCCCGTATGGAGTCTCTTTGGTGTTTGATCAGAGACCTTCCACTACCTTGGCAGTTTGTATCGTTTGTCGGCTGATTGAACAAAGATACTTATTTATGTAGCGTGCCTGCTTAAAAAGTTTCAGCGTTTCGAACACCATGTACTGGATAATACCGAGTGGAAAGTTACAGTTGTTTTGTCACAAAATTAAGCTTTTTCTCGAAATATTGTAATGATACTCTAGATGTTAAATCGACAGTCGCCGGCTATTTGCTCTTTGCCCCTTCTCGATTATCGTGAAGGTGTTGAAGTATTCTGTTTTGAAATATAACCTATACATAATTTGTAAGTTCAACCACTGCATGTTCAATTTCCCACTCAACAGTTTTTTTTGTAACATCCTTCTTCTCATCCAACATGCTAAGTGGGAAAGAGGAGGTCTCCCATAGAGTGGGAAGAGAGAACAATCAGAAATGAATCGTGAAAGCTCTATCATAAGAACAGTCGTGGAGTTTTGCATGTCGCATGTGGTGTCACACATGTTGATTGTTAATAGGCGCAAGTGTTATATGTGGGAGAAGAAGAACCCGTTCTCGTATGTTCGGCACGTGTATATATGAAAGTGAATGGCATCTTCCGCCAGGTAATACCCTTATTACTCAAATTACAACTCAATATGAGAGAAGAACTTCAATGAAATTTTGATTTGATCATCCGATCTTCAAGAGTAGGGAGATAGTTTCAAATTCATATCATAGCTCTGTGAGTTGGATAGAATTGAAGAAACCGGTCTTGTTTTTCTAACTCAAAGATCCAAGATCTAAGATTTAAGATGTTAAGTCTGAGCCCTTGATGGGGATTGCTTCACCCTTGCTTGAAGCTTGAATTTTTTACCGGGCTGTTGGATGCTTGACAACTTTCCCCTGTAGCTGCAATTCTGGGATACGCATTGAGGAGGAAATGTGTTGAATGCGAAATACGTCATGCACTTACCGGATCGAAGTGTCCACTACCATGAATCTTCGTTCGGAGTTGAGACCCCTTAATGAAGACAATTGTCGAAACGCTCAACTCTCTTAGGAAGAAAGATGTCTTTCAACATCACACTGCAATTGACATGACAGAACACTTCCTAAGCGGCGGGATATAATCTTTCTCTCACTATCCTTTCTAATCGCACGTTGGTGCGTACGAGATTCACGTCCGCAGGGCATAAATAGTACCCCACTCCCCCGAGTCCAGCAAACCTCAAATCGCTGCAAGGCACCTTCATTCTCGCAGAGAACCTGGCATCCGTCAACGTCAAACACATGCTCCAAAAAGCTCTGGATCGAGATGCGCGGCGGAACGTACACATGCGAAGGCTAAAGAGCGACGTTATGGCTACAAGTACAGGTACAGGCACAAGCGGTGGTGCTCTTGTACCAAACGGCTGGCCACGGCCCTTCACTTCTTCTGAGCTTCTATGAGGCGCTCCTTGAGAGTGCTCAGTCGTCCCGAACTCGGAAGGCCCAGTGCCATCAACGCACGCCTCACCGCCGTCACATCCATCTCATCGATCTGCTCGACCGACAAGGCGCCCGACAGCGACGCCGGCAGAGGAGGAGGAGCAGGCTCCGACCCTCCCAGAATTCTCGGTGGAGCTTTCCAGGGGATCCTCTTCCTCGCCTGGACATGCAATCAGATTTATCACATTTCTGCAGTCGCTGACAACTCAATCGGGCTACGCAGGTCAGCACTGATTACATTCATTCTCGTGAGTGCGAAGTCAAGTCAAGGCTCCCGCAGGCCGTCTGAGGATTCGAACGGGGTTTACCTCCGTCACAATCTGCTCGAGTTCTTTGTAGGCTGGTTGTGTCGGAGTGTCTGCAATGAGCTCGCTCGTGCCATCCCACGCCATCAAGTAGACCTGCGTCAGGCAATCCAGGGATTGTGTTTAGGGTCCCGGCTGCCACTTTTTCTTGGAAAGATGACGCTCGGGGTCGAGACTGCAGTGATGGAGCACTTACTTCCCAGTTCCTCGGGTAGCATTTCAGTATCCTAACGACACCTCCTGTGCCAGAAACGATGTTGGACGCTTCTCCAACTCGCATCTCTAGTAAGACATACGTTTTCTCAAACGTGTTGACGAACTCCTCGGCCTGTCTGCCACTCGCAGTCACCGGCAAACAATATCAGGCAAGATGTTTTGGAATTGTCGATCCCCGTCTCAAATCCCGCGATTGGGAGCAAAGGAACTTCTAGAGTCAAGAAGAGCTAGTGACGTCTTGGGGATGTGCAATTGAGCTTCCCACAGTTTTGGCAGACTTGAGTTAGGCATGCGAGGTCACCTTCTCCACGGCCCGAATCCAAAATCCGACACCACTTGCCCTGATGAACGCCACTGTGGATTGACGATCAAGAGTGGCGCCCGCTCTTTCTCGGCAAGCGAACGCACCTGAAGCAACAGAACATGTCAAAGTCAGCGCCCGGGCATCATGCACGGCCTTCATGGCCGGTCGGTGTGGGTGGGTCACGATACTGTGGTGAATCCATCAATCCCTTCATGTAGAGCTTGATGGATGCCCCGCGGTGATGAGTTGGTTACCTTACCTGCTTCAATGTCTCTGCAATGGGGAAGATGATAGCGGCGACCGATTTGCTCGTGGGGTACATGAGACCCACGGGATCCTGCTCATTGTCGGCCTCACCGATGCGCCTTGAAACAATCTCTCCGTTTCCTGTCATCTCTTTGAACATACCAGTCACCACCTTGCAGCATGCTTGAAACTCTTCTCTTATACCGCAAGGATAGTCTCTGCATTGTCAGGAAGGCCGGAATTGTTTTACAATTTCGCCCTGTTCGCTAAAAATCGTCAAAACTGTCACCTGCTGCAAGCGTAAGAAGAGTGTTCTTGATGCATTAACTGGACAGAGTTTCTGGTTGTCCATTACTAGCCTGGGTTCAGTATCCAGATAGTTAAATTGCCGTTGATCCACCGGCAGAAGAAACTGCACCTGCTGCCGCAGCAGGCCATCAGCTATGGCCTTCTGAACTGCCCCCCTTGCCTACTGGCGCAACAAAAATCAAATAAATGTCCGAGTGAGTGTCTCATGGAGTCGTAGGAGACTTAAGAGCAACTTGCTATAGCGTCCAACCGAAAACAACATCGACCTCTGCATGGGCATCTCCAGATTCAAAACCATGACGAACGCTCTGAAGAAACTGATTTATAACCTGACTGATGGCTTCCTCAATGGTCTGTGGGTTCTTCATCTCGGTGGATGTAGACGCACCATCCGTCTTGCCCTCTGCCCACACTTGCAGACCCCTATGGTACGGATTGCTACCATCCCTTTTGGAAATCCATGGGCGGCTGATGCCGATGGAATGTCTGAGGCGAGCTCCAAAAGAGCGGGATACTGTTTGACTAGCACCAGCGAAAGAGAATGAGGCCTTGGTCAGTGCCAGTTGTTGCGCCACACATCCTCCGCATACGACCCCTGTTGCGGCAACGAGTGATTGGGAGGCCATCCTCACAAGTCGGGCTTCAGGTCTGCAGCAAGCACATCCAAAATGCGATTTGTCACAAACTCACATTCACATCCTCTGACAGAGACCAAAGGGCTGACTCTGTTTATCCACGCAAATATCATATTCCATGCTATCCATCCCCTTCGCACAGTCCACACTCTTCGGTGACCAGTGCACGGGACATACGAGCAGAAATTACAGAGAATGCAACCTGCGTAAGTACACATGGTCTGCAGTGAACACCCATTCTACGAACACTTTTGGACCACGGACATATGAAACTAAGAACATGTAGGATGTGCCAAGACCACTCGACTGCCTGGTTGTGACCATATGCTACTGTGCTCAAGTCCCTGACTTCGCCAGGGGTGAACAAAATGGGGATGTCTGTTAAGATGATGAGCTTGATGTAGTATCTAAGGACCCCATCGTATGGCCCGATAAGACGGAGAGAGTACGATAGGACGACGACTATCCTGTTCTCTGGGAGTGCTGAACACATGTTCCCCTGGACACATCCGTTCGATAGTTCCCAATTGAACAGTTCATGTTACCAGTCCGGCTTATGTTGCGCAGCTTGTCGACAGAGTGAGTCCTAGAGTCAGCAGGTCATGTGATCCATGGTGGGACTGAGAGGACTAGTAGACTATGCATGGCAGTCCAACATCTCCCCGACGCGGCTTGTGCAAAACTCCACGGAGAGGAGGAGCAAGCAGACAAACGAATCCGAAGATTTGCTTCGTTAAACCACAAGTGACAACAATCGAGCTGACATCCAACAAGCAGAATTGACCCGCGGCCCTCGCGACTCCGGCCGGATCCAGGCCTTCATGACAGTCCAGTCGGGTTCAACTCATCCCAGCTCAGCTAGTGGATCGCATCACCTTTGAGAGTCAGGAGGAAAACTGTCGATCAGGCAGCAACTATCAACATTCCAGGAACTGACATCTCCCTCTGCCAACCGACTCACCACGTGAATTGCCGATAGAGCTCCACGTCCTGACTGGTTTGGCAAGTCAGAGAGCCAGAGCTAAGAGGCAGCAGCAGTCACGGCCATAGCCAAGCAGGCACAGGCTTGCTCGCAGGGTCTGGGTCCTAACAGATCGACGCAGACACACAGACAGAGGAATGACTGGAGTACACACACTCATCTCATAAGTGTGCGTCCCTCGGTCTCTGCAGTGACGGGGCCGCATCCGCAGGAGGCAGGCCCCGGCCCATTCGAGCCTTTCGTGCACTTTTCTCTGAATTGTCAGATTCTGTGGATCTCGTCCAGATCGCGTCCCCTCGCGACGGTCGTGACGGTCGCGACGTCCTCTTTCGGTCCGACCGGAACTCGGAACAGCGGCGCGAAGTCTCGATTTGGGATGCGGATGATTGGTTATCCGATGACATCTCGCCTGATCCTGCCGTCCCGGTTCTGAGGTGCCGTCACTGTCGTGCCCTTGGTCTCCTCGACCGCCTCCGACATTCAGAACATATCCGGTCTCACTGGTGGACGACGGACATCACATTTTTCCTCCTTCAAGTGGAGAACCGACAGAATGCCATCTCCGTTGCAGGTTCGTTTTGTCTTGATGCATGAAGAAATGTAACACTTTAATTTGATGGCTAGTGACTGAGATGTGTGACTGGAAGCAAGTAAGTGTACGATGAGCTTTGCGCTTAATTAAAGCACGTACTCTAATTACTCACCGTGTCATCCACAGTTCAATCTCTTCATATTCTGGACAATTGACTTTGAACGTATCAAATTTTGTGTCAAAATCCTGTCAAAACATATCTTTCTCGAGTTAATTCTTTTAATATAACGATGTGTACTTCACATCCTTATATTAAAGTCATACCAGTGGAAGAGATAGCTCGTAATAGTTCAGTACCGTAGGGTGAATTTGACAAGACCCGCAAGAAAAGTGACCGGCAGGACAGCAGTCGACTACGGTTTGATGTTTCTAAGTGCCCTCTCATGGCGATTAGGTTGGCAGCACATAGCAAAGTTTGATTGTGGTAGAATCTCACGATTGATTCCAACACCTTTGTTGATGTATGTGAGGATTCTAAAGGTTCATCTAGTTCTGTAAAGTGCTTTGCTGTTAAGTCATCTATATCCAGGCCTCTTCAAATTAGTCATTTGACTCATTTAACTATAATTACGTAATTTTGGAATACCGCATATGTAGGTTAATGTTAGCAAAATTATCATCATATAATATCAACATTATTAATAATATTATTAATATTAATATCAGCAAGCAAAGTTACATCATATAATTGCTATACGTTACATGCATTCCTCAATTTCCATTATTTATTTTAATAAGATTAGTTGCACTTCGAGACTTTATATCATTGTGTTGATGTGAGATGCAATATTATTTATAGTTTCAATGTACATTCAGATAATTCATGTCGATTGATCTCAATGTCTTTCAAAAATCAACAATTTGTAATGATCAATAATATAGGTTTTATGAATCATAAGATATGAAAATATTCATGACATTGTCTGAAACACGTTGAATTTTAAACATGTTTTAGACATGTCAATTCTAAACGATAGATTGACAATCTTTGTCAACAAAGATTAAGTCAATATAGCTATTAAAATATGATAGAATTTGACTTTGTTGAAGTTGATATAAAGTCGTTATATCACCAAATTCACTTGATGTAAAGCACATAAGATTCATACAAGTCAACAAATATAAGTCGATATATGTTACAAGGCCATAAACATAATCAATCTTGTATGTAGTCTCGTCTAATAAGCATGCAATGAGTTTGTACTTATAACTTTCTCATAATGCGTCTAATATAATCTTTATTACATCAAAGATTGTAGTGTCGGTCTGGCTATCAAAAAACAAAATAATCATTATATGATAATTGTGAAGTTTTTCAATAACGTACTATCAAACATGGATGTTAATGTAAGATATGCTTTGACAACATGAATCATTTATAGCATTTGAAAATACTCTACAATTTGACATTAGATATTTAAAATGTGTTGAAATGCAATTGTACAAAATAACTCCATGTATTCTGCAATAGCATCTTCGTTATAATGTCTCAATTGATATTATTCCATGATATATTGTATATCAAGGTTAATCTTACCAAAAAAATTATTATCAACAAACAAAGCGAGTTGCAAGCTCATATTGTATTACATGTTTCAAATGTCTCAATTGATATTATTCCATGATATATTATATATCAAGATTTATCTTACAAAAAGAATGTCATCAACAAACAAAGCGAGTTGCAATCTCATATTGTATTACATGTTTCAAATAAGTCAAATACTTTTAAGTTGCATCATTAAAAAAATAATTCTACAATGTATTCAAAACAATATTGCACTCATGCTACACAATAAAATTTTCAATAATATTTTTTTGGAAGTAAAAAAAAAGATGTGGCATTTGAAATTGCATGTGAAAATCAGTTAACTTGGCCACCTTCACTAGTACTTCAAAGAACTTTCTTTTTTCATCATAAATTTTTTTTGATAAATTGTCCATTTTCTTTAATGTTGGGATTGTAAATAGCTTAGTTAAATTTAAAAAACAGACTATATACTTAAAGATCCAACATGTACGACCAAACACAACACAAAACCAAAATCAATCATCAAGTATCAATACTCTTAATCAATAATTGCACAACTTGATAATTTAGAAGTTCATGTTTGTGTTGAAAAGAGTGGGCGACAAACTTATGTTTTTTGCTTTTCTACGGGAACACATCTCCAAGATTAAAGATGAATTATGAGAAAAAAAACATGATGAAAATAAATTTTCATCCAGATTGAAATGACACAAAAGTACCACATGATATACATAAACCTAAAGACATCATATGTCAATAAAAAAATAATTTATATAAATTAGATTTATAAAAATTATTTTTAAAATTAAAATTATTTATTATTGCACAAAATTAAATTCTATTCATTTAAAAAATAAGAAGATAACTAATTTGATATTAATTTTTGTAGCCAAAGTTAATTAAGATTGAGCAAACGATTATGTTTTAGTTATGAAGAGTAAATGTGATGATGTACAATTATATTATAGACATTAAAATTATGATTAACATATCTATTTAGTGTAATTAAAAATATTCTCACAAATGTTACTAAAGATAACATTATTTTACATAACAATTGCATCAATCATGTTTAGATATGTGTAATGTAGTAACCATGAGTTTACTATATTGTTGTAACGCTAGAGTTTAAAGACAAGTTCCTTTGGAGATGAAACATGAATGATGAAAATGAGAGATTTTGAATAGTTGTACATTTCTTTATATAGATACTTCAAACACATTAACAAAGATAATGTATTTTACCCACCATGTAATCTACTCCTAAAGAGATTGATGACATGACGAATAGACTTAATGAGCACATAGATTGTTGATGTGTAGCTTTTGACTAACACACAAACTACCACATTCAATTTGTAGCTAACAAACACACTTATTGATGACTCGTTGCTTTCAAATAACATTTTCAACTTGTACATAGATTGCCAACATTGCATAATATATATTTCATTATCATATATTCAAATCAATCTTCAGTAACTTCTATTGTAGTTCCAAGTAATTAAAATGATTACAGTTTTTTGGAATAAATAATCTGAAAAATCACATCAAATGTTTTTTTTTAAATACAAAAATTTGATTTTTACTAAATTTAATAGATATTGAATTGTAAATATCTCAAATATTCAAGTTGTTTGGCAACAATTTTTTCTAAAATGTACAATAAAATAAACATTTTGAACTTAAATCTATTTTTTAAAATAATATCCATGATTATCATTCACTCTAAAATGCAATAAAAGTTATAATTGTTATCATGTCATTTTGATTAATTAGTAATATAATATGAATATTGAATATATGTCATATTAATATGGTATAAGCATGAACATTTATTATATAAAACAAAAAATATTACTTGGTGGTATTCATATCGAACGTCAAATACTCAATGGAACCATAGACAATTCATTTTATTTGATGGTATCCATTCGACAACACATTGTCATCCATGTTCCGATATGAATTCTTGTAATGTGCATGTTTTTCCAACATGTGTATTACTGATAGTTTCAATCGATAACATCTTGCAATTTTGCATGAATCCAAAGCATGAAATTTGTGAATTCTGCCATCTTGAGTTGACTCGTTGATCCAACACAAACTGATGTAGTGAAATAATTCATTGTTGAACTTAGAGTCGAGCGTATGAGTTGGATCAACATGCGCCAATCATCATTCCAACTAATCTTATGGAACCAACTGAAATTTATCGTTCAACTCATAATACAAAGACTTGCTTATGACGATGTATTGCAACCTGTGAATGAAAGTTACATCAAGTATAATCAATTGTATTGGATGTCATCAAATGAATTACGTTCTTGATGGATTACATCAAGTAAATTACTCTTAAAAATAAGATTGAACATTTTGTTTACAAATAGCAAAAAAAATATCATTATTTTGTTTTTTTTTAATATCAAATTTTTTCATTAAAGCAATAAATTAAACCCAAATCTTAAATGACAACATATTTTTACTTATTGAAGTATTAAAAAATAGAAACTTCAATCATAATTAACTATCATATTCACATGTCAAAATCTATCATTAATCTATTAATAATTTTATTATAATGAGATTTTTATTGAAAATTGATGTGCAGTATTGTGATATTAATAATTGTTCTTAACATGTTGATATTATAAGACACTCATGATAAAGAAAGTGGCTAATTATACCTCTATTGTACTATACTCTTTTGTGTAGAAGTATGTGATTGGTCATATGCACGTACGGTCTAAGACACAATTATAATTATCGTGTGTGAGTACTACTTCTAAAATAGCTACTCTTTGTGAGTTGTCTGAGATTTTTTTCTTTTCCTTATGACTTTTTATAGCACAACGTTCTCCGTTCTATCGCATGACTTTCATCGGTAATCAAGAGAATGTCTCAATCACTATATCATCACCAAAAAATTTCTGCGGAAACATCACCGACTTCAAAGTAGCATGCCTCAATCTGGAAAGATGATGTGGTATACTAGTGTTTTGTTAACATGTTTTAAGTTAACAAAAACCACAATTACCATCTGTCTCACTCTGATTTTGTTGTAGACATAGGTAAATTCCGTGATTAAAAGTAATGTGCACGATGAGATTTTCAAGTCTGGATGGTCATAGTTAAAGTTACTTCTTTTTTTATTTCACTCATGATACAATGCACCAAACAAAATTAGTGCTATCAATAATCACATCCACTAGTACACGCATGGACCAGACATCAACAGAGTGCCAAGTGCTATTGTGAAACTTAGCTTATCTAATTGATCACACTTAAGGAATAAAAATAGAGCAAAAATTTTTTAAATAGAAAGCAATGTTTAAAAGATTTTGTCTCAGCTTGTGTTCACCAAACTGTTTTCATGTGAATAAAACTCCGCCAACTCACGAAGAATTTGCTATTTTAAAAGTAGCATCCACCCACCCCGTGAAAAATATATCCCCTTTTGTCTCATCATCTAACCTATCACACAACTCTACATAAGAAAATATTGTCAAACTAGCTGCTCCATAATAAATTGTGAATAAAAGTAGTAAAAAATGTTGATTCAAAGATGAAACATAAGAATGGCACAATTTTATTAGAAAAAATTGGATTAAAATAAATAAAAAATATTTTAAAAATCAAAAGTATTATATATATTTTTGATCAAATTTATCATATGAAAATTAATACAAATTGAACTATAAAAATCACCTGTAAACATATAATTTATACTTTAAAATTATTAAATTAATTAAAATTAAAATTCTTACATAATTTAAAAATTATTTATAATTATAAGTTTATGAATATTTCAACAAATCTAAAAAAATGGAATTATTTTTTTCCAAACTTCATTATTATTACTGAAAATATGAGTATGTGAAACTTGAATACTTCATACTTTTAAATTATATTACTTACATAATGTATCACTTATAAAATAGAATAAATTTATGTTATTTAAAAAAATTGAATTAAATTAAAATAATATATATATATATATATATATGAATCATGCTACATAAGTTTAACAATTTATATACTCTTCTACTTTGATGTATAATTCTAAGGTAGAATTATAATTGATATAAAAATTACAAACAAATTTTCTTTCCAATTCCTTATACCAAAAAAATTTCAAAATTTGACAGTACTTTAACGAGGTTTCTGAAATTTCAAATTAATTTGTGTTTTTTTCTTTCTTTTATGAATAAATTTTTTGTATCTTAATTAAACAATGGTTTCAATGAAATTAGAAGTTTAATCAATCATTTTGGCACTAATTAAGCTTTTGAAAATTAATTTATTTAAATTGATACAAAAAATTGTTTTATATAAATTATTGACTTAATTTTTTTCATTCAAACTTAAATATTATAAGAAATTTTAATTTTAAATTATTTGTAAAAGTCAAAATTCTTATGAATATAATTTTCTTATTAATTTTGATAATTTCATTTTATAATTTGTGAAAAATAAACAAAATTCTTTAAATTAATGTTTCTTGATATGTAATTGATTTTTTATACAGTATTCTGTAATATTATGCACTCTATTAATGTCACGCTCAATGTTTATAGTTTTACACAGTCTTTGGAACATTAGATCTATACAATCATATCGATCATTGGAAATGAGATAATTTTAAGTTATAAGTTGTAACTTTTTAGTCAATTTTGATTAAATCTTTATTCTATGTGATCATATCAGTTTCATATGAATATGTATAATACGGTTACAAATATGCAACACTGCAAGTGAGTAAAATATATAATAATTATTTACTTTCATGCTGTCAACTCTTTATTCTGTCCATATGATGAAATCCTAGCATTGTACATATAATTGTTTTGATATAACCTGAAATACAAGTATATCCATGCATGAAATATAGAATGTGTGCAACAATTGTTTTTCCGATATCATTAGAAATATATATCAAAAAATCACAAGTTTTGTTTTTAATTCTTTGGTAGATAGCAATTACATGAAGTCAGAATAATATAAATGCATTCATTTTAAACTCATATTTATTAACTGTATATCATTTTTCATCTATGTCCAATAAAGTATCTATATAACTGTATATTAATAATAAAAAAGTAAGTATTCAAATATTTTACTACTTTGAAAAATCGATATATCCGTTAACATAAAACGTGATTTTTTTTGCAATTTTAAAGGAAAAGTATGTAAAATAAACTATTATTTGTGAATTAATCATATGTGTCTAATATCATATCAACTTGATTTCAGGGTTAAAACAGGAAGATATTAAATTTTAAAATTAAATTTCATGGTTATGAGTAGAAATTGTATTCTTACAAACCATCATTTTCGTAATGTATTGTTTGCTGTCTATTTTGCAACATGTTTGACTTTCATTTTATTTCTTTGTAATTTAGGAATATAAGAATATGTATTATATTTCATTGAAAGATTTGGTATGCTTACAGTCCTAAGCTCAGAATCATATTATGATATGAAAAGTACTTTTCTTTTGTTGTTTGCAAGGCAAGTGACCTTCATAGTTCATATATCTTAGATGTGGGGTTACATCGTGCTCTTTCATGCTGGCAACTCTTCATTCTGTTCATATAATGTTCAACGCAATGTTCCTTTGTGATACTATAGCATGATTTTCGTTTAGTTATTGTAGAGCTTGATGGTTGTTTTCTCAATGTACCCTTATGGTCAGGATTGTTATCACTTTCATTGTCTTGTTTCCCCATCTTGAATATAGGGTTCTTCTAGTTGTAGCCTGAATTGACAAGAGAATTTATCACATGGAAAAGATATTCAGTCAACAACCTTAGTACAACGTTGATGTTAGGGGAAAGGATTCTAGGTTAATGCTCATTGCGGCGGCAATCAATACACTTGCAAAAGAGACCAATGCGAAACATAAGCATTCGTATCAGTCAAAACATTCCGTCTTCGCAGTTAAATATCTGCTTGTGGCTCTAGTCCCTATCGAAAGTACAGTACTCTTCTGTTCGGGATCTTATTCAAACGAGAAGCCCTCTTGTTAAACTGGTTAGTGGGAACCCTATCGGTATGCAGACTGAAGGAGACGAGCGCCTGGATCGTCAAGTGACCCCGTGGTCCCGTCACCGCTCCTAACAAGTTGTGGCGGTTAACAAATGCTCCAGAAGTTCCCGGGGACCGGGTAATAGTGGTACTTTAACCGGCTTCTGGAACTCAAACCATCTCGGACGGGCGGGAAACTCCCAGGCCGCTTTGATTCGGACCGAAGCTCAGCGCAAATCCTTGGTATGAGTGGGATCGTCGAATACCAGAGCACCTATGTCTGGCATCTTTCACAACGTGGCGACATGGGATTCATCGAGAATCATGGACGTTGTCGTTCCGAAGACAAAGTAGCATTTAATGACGCTTTCTCTTTCCAGTTGCTTCGGAGGGAAGATTTCCGAGCCTGCCCCGTTGAGCCTAACAGAAGGTTCTAGCATGACGGGGCGGGCACTTCTGACTTCGCCCTCACGACATACAGTCTCTACACAAAAATATGGTATTTGATCGGTGATGACCAAAATGTATTCGGTGGCATGGAGTTAGCGTAATCATAATTAGTGCAACGGTTTAGCTGGACCCATGCAGAGAACGGTCTGCACGGCCTGCGGGCAAGACAGAACAATGTTCTCCTTCGTGGACTACTACGACGAGACTCTAAAAGTCCATATATAGACTTCTCTGGGAATTACCTCTGGCTTTTGAACCACGAGTTATTTTGGGATCAACGGACGTGGGAAGGAAAGGCAAATCGATGTAGATGTTGTCTTTTAAGTCCGAAAGCGGGAGTAAAAACATTCGATCTCCAGACATTTCAGTGACTTGCTGCTCAAGAAATTTAGGCTGCCTCTATATACTTCCGGGGTCGACACGTGTCCCGGAAGAGGAATGAGTGGAAATATGATGTAGTGAATGAAGAAAAAGCAGAAAATCATGGGAGAATGTCTGGAGAAGCCTTTTTGTCCGCTAGCAACCTGGCAAGTGGGCTGCGACCTCAACCTGGTTAGGTCAAACACGGACGGTTTTCCCGCACAGTTCATTAGGCCACCATCAATCAATAATCGACCAATAAGGACCCTCATTACGCTGTAGATCCAGGACGGCCGGGCCGAGAAATGCACGGAACGAGGAGGGACGGCGGCGACCCAATGGGCCTCATGCAAGGGCTACCGCGGTTAAGGAGATGATGTTGACGGAATAAAGGGATCACTGTAACCACGGTTTAAGTTGTAACGGGCCGAGCCGACTTCGTGCGTGAGGAATGTAACTACAGTTTAAGTTTAAAGCACAATCCCGCCATGGAGTTTACAAACGCCCGGCCCGGAAGAGGAGGAGCGCTGTGGGGAGAGTCGAAGGGAGGTTCGGAGCGGGACGACGCAGCAGCTGGCAGGTACGGGAGAGGCGCGGGGGCGAGCAGAGCAGTTCTGGCCTGCGCGTCCTGTCTTGGCGCCTGGATGCTGTTCTGCTGTTGGTGCTGGTGCTGAGGCCGCATCTGCTACTCCTCCTCTTGCTGCTGCTTTGCTGTGCGCCTGTGCTCTGTTTCTAAAGAGGAGGTGGTTTTTTTTTTCCCCTCTTCCTGTGGGGCGATCACATCAACATCACGGTAAGACAGGGGAAGAGCTTTGTTTCGTCATACGGGTCGGAGTCCGTTGATCTAATTTCAATATTCGTAAGAACAAAAGAACATTTTTTTAATCGAGGGGGAGAGGGAGAGGGAGCGGCTGAGTGAAGGATCGACTGCGTTCAACTGTGTTTGCGAAATTCATCTCCAATCCTGCTCTCGCCTGTAGCATGTTGTGAATATTGAGCGAGTGAGGTGTATTGGATTCTCATAAAGGATCCGTAATTTAGGTCGCGATCGGAGCCGAGTGTGATCGACCTTCCCGATTGTTCCTACGTCCTTCCTGGTTTTTCCTTCTTCTGGCATATGCACCGAGACTTTGGTGGTACGAATTGATCACGCACCTACTTTTTTTCTCTTCTTTAGAATTGTTTGTCGTCACCATTGTTCTTTTGCACTGCGTTCGTCTTCTGAGGGCTGAGCGTTCATCTTTCAAGGTCGGACTATCCATACGGTCTTCTTTCTCTTTCTTTTCCTCTCCGAGTGGGCAAAGAATCGGATCGCTTCCTCTGATCTCCATTTACATTCGGTGCATTGAATGGAGATCGATCGAAAAAGTTCCTCCTGATGATGGGCTCCTTGGTATCAGGCTTACGTCGATTCCAAACTTTGAAGCCGGAGTTGGAGTCTTGTACACTGGAAGGGAGCCAATTTATTTTACATTCGGTAGCGAGCAAGTTTACAAGGAGTTGCGAAACCTAAGTCGGGACTACTGTTGTTCTTCCGCTCATTTGGCAATCGCTGAACGTCTACTCATGTGCGGTCTGATTCTACAGTGGCAAAAGACGAGTTTTGTATAGGGTATGACATTCCCTCCCTTCTCAGCTAAGTGAAGCTAAATCGAACGAGTCCATTTACACTCCAGCTTATTTTGCTCAAGGATTCCCTCGTATTATACATTCCGGGATTTTGATTGTCTGGGAAATACAGTGACGTATACAAGCTTTGAAGTGCACATCCAAATGTCTCTTCGTCCAAGTCGACTGTCCAGAGATTTCCGTCGATGGGTGTTCTGATGAAAGGACCCATTGCTTGCGTACAGCCCATTTTTGGGACTGAGAGATCGGACCACACGCGGCAAGTAGGCCTTTGCGGACAACGGTGGATAGAGGAGAAGATAGCAGGTTCTGAGCACTAGGCTAGATGTGGGTGGTGGTCAAGTTTGTCAAAGTGGAGAACTTGATAGCGACCGATATAAAGCCGTCAAGAAGCCCTTCTGGCAAATCCTCAGCGCAGTTGAAGGTCCATGTGAGATCATGAACGGTTCTTCTCGTGTACTCGACTGTGGAGGTGAGTCTAGTGACAAGGATAACAGCCCTCCGTGGGATGACCAAATTTCACGAGTCTCTATACCTGACCCGATTGACGAGAGTACTCATGAAGACGCGTATGGTATTGTTCTTGGGAACACCATCGGAGACGATTCCTGGCCATCTGCCTCCGAAGTTGAGGAGCAGCCAGTGACTGGTTCTGGTGACCAACTAACCTCAGCCCAGCGACCAAGATTTGCAATCATAACTGATGGCAACGGCGATAGTCGAAACGGCGATCCTCAATATACTGCAAATATAGCCCCTGAAAAACCACATCTTTATCTTGATTCAGGAGCTCCTAGCAGGTGAGTGGTTAGGCACATCAAACATAGCAGAACTCATCATCCTAGGTCAGAAGTATTTGTAAGGTCCTGTTTCTACTGGTAAAAACAACTAAATTCTTTTGTCATGATGGTAGGTTTGAATCAATCTGAGCTGATACCCACATCATTAGACATCTCTTTGCCCACCGAGCTGTGCCTCGTAGATTGGTATGTTTATAATTGGCAACTGTCTAATATATGAACTACTGAAGTTGCGTACCGTCTAACAGTTCCTGAACGCGACCATCTCGTAACCGATTTCTCTATGTGTTTTGCAGTTCTCATGCAAGTATTATGCAGTCTGATGATGAGAATGTTACAGTGGGTCAGAAACATAGTTGTAAGGTGGCCATCAGGGACCTTGAAGCAGGACTTTATATTGACAACATATCTTACATGGATGAAGAAGAAAAACTTGATGTGGACATATGTAAAGATGAGAACAATCCAGATCATGTGGAAGCCACGCATGAGGTTGTCACTGCGGAGACCTGTTATTACCATGTTGCATCTTGTGATGTTAAGGCTGTGATTGACTCTAACCTTAGCAAAATATTTACTGTTCAGACTGATGACACTGAATTTCCGCAGGATAAAGAAGTTCTCTTGAACGCTGAGAACAAGCCCGGGGTCGATTTACTTGAGAAGGAAGCTGAAGTTCATGGGCTTCGGAAGCGACGAGTGGCGAAGGTGGACACAGTAAGATCAGTTGTCACCGGTGATTCCGCATTCGGAAGAATGCCAGAAGAGGAGCGCCGAGGTGCGGCAATCGCGAATCGTATGAAAGACGTACCTTTTGAAAGTGGCCCAGAGACGAAACAGAAGCCCTTAGACAAGAAAACAGGGAAGCAGGCTAAGGGCTCAGTGAAACCAGCTGGAAGGCGTGGTAGTGATGGTCCACCTCTCGAGGATTTCAGAGTGAAGGAAGATGCAGAAACAAATAGGAAGGTGCACGAATCTCTTGATAATTTTATTAGACAGACAATCCGATGTGAGCCATACATGACCTTCTCAGGGAGACCGGGGGATAAGCCTTTACAGCGTCTCAGGTCTGATGTATTTGAGAATCATGTTGGAGGGAAGTTTGGACGGGGATTTAAAGTTGAGGGTGGCTCAGACGCCAGGGATATTATTGCTGAAGATAATATTAGCACCGATGGTCTCACAAGTGATGTAGATGGCCTAAAAGAAACGCCTCTCAGCGGATCCAAGGGAATTGGTGGTCTCGGTAGGGGACCTCAACATTCCCTGAAAGTCCCGCCAGGAGTTGTTGCCTTCACCCAGGCGGCTGCGAAAGGCACTGGTAAGTCCCTTGTCATTTGTTTCATATTTTATCCTTCCCCACTGTAAAAATATGATTGAAGAACCATTGTATAAAAGATAGCTAATGGATAAATTCACCTTCTTCCCGTCATAGTAATGATATGCGATTCATCTCAACATGTATTGAAAGATGTGTACATGGCGGTGTATTTTGTATAGATCTTCCCGGATGGCCGTTATCATCTCCCTCTAAAATGACTTTGACGAAATGTGATAAATGTTCTCGAGAGTTTTGCTCGAGTCTCAATTATCGAAGACACGTGAGAGTGCACAGGAAAACTCTCACCGAGAAGGTACATAACTCTCTAAGTTTTACTCTGAACTGACATCACGTAAGCTTCTTTCGAGAAAAGTAATTGCAGCCTTTTGTTCCTTCACCTAGACTTCGCGCAGAAAAAATATATGCATTGAGTTTCAGGTTGACCTATTCTATGGTCGGATTTAGAAGCTTACTGAACTTGAGTTCCTTGTATGCTAGAAGGACCTAAGCAAAGAGAGGTCAAAAGTTGCAGAATTTTGGGACAAGGTATGTTTTCCTCAAATTTGAAGATCATGGTCCATGCTGAGTTAATTTGTTTCATTATATACGAAGTGGTAAGCTTAATCATGAGATTGCGGGATACCTGTTGAATAGCAGAATGCTTGTTGGCACCTCGGGGCTGTTTCACGTAGTTCTTATTGAAAACGTTTACTTACTCGAATCACAATGTTGTGCAGTTAACACCAGAGCAGGCCAGTGTTATTGTAAACTATGAGAATATGGAAATAGAGGTACTTGCCTGACCAATATATTCATGGTTGCCTGAGTTTTGTTGACTGTGACTAGCTATGTGCTCATTGTAAGGTTTTAACGTTACGTTTTGCAAAGTATTATTGAACTTTTTACTGTATGAAGGATCAAACCAGTTTTTTTTTTTTCATTTTGCATTACTATATTTCATATTTCATTTCCGCACAAAAGATGCTTTTTAGTTCTTTGTAAACATAATAAGTAAGTTGGACTTTGTGAGCAGGATTTATCAGGAAATTCGTTACTTAAAGCCCTGGCGGGTTTTATACAACAACCTGGCATGCCTTCGATGCCATCAGGACTCATGAAGGCAGGGTCAGCACTTCTTGTAAGTCCTAGAAACTTGCAGGAGCTGTCAGTCTATATAGCATCTGGAACAAGCAGTGTAGTTGTCTAGCTCCAAAATCTTTATTTATTTCTCAGTTCCAGGATGTGGCTTGTTTCTAACCTGCTTTTGCTAAATCTTATGCGTGAATATTGTAAGAGGTGTACGCGGATACATCATCTCGAGCTTTTCTTAACCACGAAGTTCGTCTCTCAGGATATAGTACAAAACAAGCCATCAGTGTACCCTCTCCCCTCCGAACGACTTCTCAGCATTTTAGATGATGCCAGCGAGAAGACGTTTCTTACTGGAGGAGCGTCTGGTACCTACCCTCGCGTTGTATTTAATGGCGATGCTGGGAAAGTTGGATTAGAGGAGAAAAATCTTGTCGCTTCCATGGGCTTTCATGTCGAATTGAGACTGGTATTTGACTCTCCTCGAAAACAATGCGTTCTCCACTGTCTTGAGTTCAGAGCTTAGATTCATTGCTTGGGTGAACTTAACTAATTGACAGTCTAGCTGTTTCTTCATACTGAAATCTCTTCAATACAAATATGAAAATCGTGGACAAAAAACGAGGAGATTTGCATTAGGTTTTAGTTTCGTGACTAGCTTTCAGTTTGAATTTTCGATGGACTTTATTACTCATCTATGTATAAACAGGTTAAAGCGTGGATGGCCGATAAGGAAGCTGAAGCTTTGCGAAACCAACAAGCGCTATTTAAGGAGGAGGAGGCTGCACAACAAAAGTATTCCACCTTCACCTTTGCTGTCTTTGTTCCTAATGCTGGCGTTCTGTCGTCAATGCTACGAATTTTTTGTGACATATTTCTTTGTCTTCTTTAGACGGGCAAAACTCCTTGAAAAAAGGCGAATGAAGAAGATCCGGCAAAAGGAGCGCAAAGTCACGGCTTCACAACTGGTTCAGGAGTTGGAGAACGAATCCTTGGACGATGAGGGTAACATTCCTGGAGTGGAGGAGGATGATTCCCCAACAGCTACAGGGTCCAGTGTTTCGTCTCTTGTTTCCGCCCATGATCTAGCAATGCCAGGAACCTCTGACCTAGATATGAATGAGGATATAGGACAGGTAGAAGGAAGAGATGAACAACCCGGCCTAGCGGGGGAACCAGTTATAGAAAGGAACAAAGTCAGAGAGGAGGATACTGTGCAACTCCCTAAAGACATATCTTCACCCGGTGGAATAGGGAAATCTATGTTTTACAATCCAGAGGATTCTTCAGATTCTTTCGTTTCGGTTAGTAGGAAGGGTGATTACCACTCTTTTGACCACACTGTAAAGGACAAAGAAATCCTCTCTAGAAATTTAGAAGAGGCAGTTCAGGATATTGATAGAGACTCCAGAATGGCTCAACAAGTAACATACAATCGTAGTGGGAGGCCAGCCGATGTGCAGACAGGTCTGCACAGTCGCAAGGGTGATCAAGAGAGAATAACCTCAGACTTTAGAAGGCGTGAGTCTGACAGATCTGTTGTAGAGAGGAAACCTTTGAGGATTAGCAGGGACAGGACAAGAATTGAGTATCCGGAGGTATTCCAAAAGCCTGGAAGAGACACTAAAGGTTATGACACAAGATATGTGGACGGTCCTTCGCAATCCACATTCAAACCTGTCAGGAAAGCGAATTCTTTCGCTTTAAAGAGTGACTCTGGGACTTCTGATTTGGCTGTTCTTTCAAGAACCCAGCAGTATCGAAGTAAGCCTCCAGGTATGCATCGTACGACGCATACGCCGATTGCAGGTAATGGTCAAGTTGTTTGGACCAGAAAGGTTTCCCAACCAGCCGTTGTGGAATTATGCAAGGACAGAAAGGAGGAGGTTATCCAAGATGATAAGTTGGCCAACAATTCTCTCACTTGTCACGAATGGGAGCTACAAATAGAGTTGACAGACGCTGTAGAGCTGGCCTCGGAATCTACAGGTGCTCCAGAGGTTGTGAAACCGGATAGGGAAGATACAGAGACGAAGGAAGCCACAACTACTTCAGCTATATTGGACGTGAAGCCTGGAAATGTGAGTACAGGAATACACCATCTGAAGGTGGTCCTAAGCATGTCATGGTTTCTATTTTACAGTTTTAGCACATCTGACCGTCAGCATGTCATCAGAATGCCTTTCACTGTACGGAACCCCTCTTGAAACCGAAACTTTTGTCAAATAAAACACGATTTACGCCACATATGCTTCCCTAGCACAAGAGCTTATGTTTGTCTTCGTTTCCAAGTGTTTGCAGGAATTGAAGGCAGGGGGATTGGCTGAGGATACCACCTTCGTCTTTGGGCAGAAGGAACTCGATAACGATGATGACACAATGTATAGCGGTGCACTTTTGGTTGGATCTCTCAGTGTGCCCATCGGTAAATTTGCCACAGAAAAATTTGGCCAGTCCAGGAACTATCGAGCTTTCCGTTCTGCCTCAGATCTTTTGCCTGATTTAGCATTGAGTCCAGCTCCTGATGGGGAAGGAAATGATCTGGGAGTGAGACCTCAGCCTTCAGTTCAGCCAGATGATGCGTCGTTGTGTATCCCTCGTTTGAAGCTTACTGTACCCGAAAGCTCCGATGGGCCCAGCGAAAATGTTGGAAGCGATTTGCCAGTTCCTGTCGTTAGGCCCAACCTAGGTTTTGATCAAGGCTTAAAGCTGAAGCCCCAGTCACCTACGTCTATTCCAGACAGAGCAGAAAGTGGACGTCCTCTTGCTTTGCCTCCTGGACAGGATCGACTTGCAGTGAAACCAGGCTCTTGGCAGACTTCTGCCGGTCGCTATGTTACTGCAAAAGTGTGGCGTGCTGTGGGTCTGGTCGGCGAAAGGCAAGATGCTGTTCCTGGAGTGGCGAGTGCAGGAGATGGCGAGGCAAGAATTCTCCAGGAAGAAACGGATACTTTAGATGGAAATGGAGCTGATGGGTTGCTGGTCAAGAAAGATGCAGAGATGCAAAGCCGTGATGATGACGCCTCTGTTGTTTTGGACTCCAATTCTGTGGAGTACAGTGGTGACCAGGCTTTTCACACTAGTACGCAGATTACATCCAGGCCTGTGGATTCTGAGGCAGATGTTCCCTCGAACGGAGCTACACAGAGCTCATTTGTTCCAGTGACTGAAGATGGTGCAGATACTGCAGCCCTGGTTTCGGATCTCTGTTCTTTATCTGTTTTCTTGGAAGTCGCGGAAAGGTTTTTGAGTGAAAGTAAGTATCTCGTTTCCAAAGAATGGATCTGTCAGTTTCGCTGCATGATTCGCAGTGTCACAAATGACGCAAATTTCTTTAATATCAACCATGTTCTTCTGCTAAACATGAATGAGAAAATCCTTTCGTTGAGATGGACGCTGTTCCCGGATTATCTTGTCTATTAACTGTACATTAATCTCGGGATTCAACTTCAAAATAGAAATATAAAATTCGTATACACACCCGTCGTGTTCTCAACTTAAGCCCATTTGAATGTGTTGTAACTCGCATTCTGGGTCTGGTTTTGTCGAATTCTTGAGCGGAATTTTGCATCTGTTTTGCAGGATGGAGAGTAGCAATTGCTCAAGCATCTCCGGATGAATATGTGGACTATTCGGCGGAAGGAATATCAAAAGTAGCTGAAGTCTGCAATATGACGGAAATGTTATCACAACAGCTGTCTGGTAAGGGCATGAGGCACCATTCAGGTGCAGACCCTTTGCCTTGTTCATCTTCCTCTGTTGTGACTCAGTCGTTGGGGAAGACTGCCCATGATGGGGGCGTGTTTTTGTCCAGGATCTTCAACGACTCTGATCAAACTGGTATGGAAGATGTAAGTCATCAAACGACACATGATGATCAACGGCTGGATGGAGCAGGTTCCCAGGAGTGCCGTATGCCTCAAGTGCTTTCATCAGAGGAGGATTCCGGAATGAGGGATTCACTGTCCTCTCCTATTGATTGTGAGCAGTTTATCAGTGGGACTGAGAACTTTAGAAGTTACATTGGGTCTGCGGCTCAGGTGGGAAGGGTACATGGATCCGAGAGACATTCTGAATCAAGAGGAGGTGGAGGGGGGAGTTTAGGTTATTCGCATGCAAGGCACTCAAGTAGTAGGCAAGAAAGATGGTATCGAAATCCCCGGGACAGGTTTCCAGAACAAAGATACATGCCTCGCAGGCGGGCTCCAGTGGAGAAGAATTGCTGAGATGACGGATTCTGATGAAGTTATGTTTGACAAATTTGGGCTTTGTGGACATGTTGTGTAGTTTCTCCTCCCCTGTTTGCCATGATTCTTTGGATGGGCATTGCCATTGCAATGACCCGTTGTGTCAATAGAGTATTCATCATGACAGGTGTGCATTGATGCAGCAGGTGCATCCATTTGTAGGTTATGTGAGTCCCTAAATCAACACGTCGGAGTGTAGTCCTCAGCTCATATTGCTAGATGTATCCACTCTAGTATTTCCTGCGAGGACTGTGTAGCAAGCAGGTTTTCGGCTTTTGCTGTAGGAGGCCTGTGCCCACAGTCCTATGTGAAGAAGATAGTGGCCACGGGTTCCCTCCGCAGATAGCAGAATGAATCTCTTTCCTTTAGGGGTTCTCTGTATTAGTCACTGGCGGCATGTACATATTTTAGAAGGAAGAGTAAGAAAACTAGTCAATTTTTGTGCCTTTTGCTGTGCCGTGGGTTGATCCCATCGTTTGCAAGGATGACGTTGCAAACGTGGATGTCTAGCAAGATCAGTCACCTATTGTTCTCCATGCTCATGCTTCTCTTTGCTCAAGATTTATGTGTAGTGCCTGGCCATGGTTTTTTTTGAACTCCTGTTCTTATGATTGCGTATTCAACAAAGGCATGGCTTAATGTTTCCTGGTTCTGTATTCCTTGGTTATTGTGCAGTTCTCTGACTTTGAATACGGATGTGGCTTTTCGTACTCCATCCCTTCTCACATGCAGTGTACTAGATTATTAGGGCCTGTGTGGCAGCATCGGCACTAAATTATTGCTGGACTTTGGATGAACGATGACCTGAATTCATTGTCGTACGGTCATGCTATTGTCCATTTTCTTTAAATGTCTGGACATCTCAAGGACTAAGATGTACAATTACTCCGGTTTTACCGTTTTGTGCAGTCAATTCACATAGAAAATTTGATTGACTTTCAACAAGACCATGTTAAGGCCACACAATTTGATATTATCATTTGACGTCATTTTGTACTTGTGTTGGGATTAAACGAATCTATACGTTTGCGAAAACTTTGCATTTTGTCTTCTCTGGGGAAAACCACGTTTCATGCTTTTGTTTATAGATGACGATGGCGTTCTAATATCATGGAATGAGTCTAATGTTTTTCCGATATTAGGTCATATGGTCGTTGGAGAAAAGGACGAAACGTCATGGAAAAAATTTCAAATACTCGTTATAGTTACCAAGTTTTATAGATACATAGACTCAGTCAAAATTTGAAATATGCGAAAAGGCAGTACTAAAGCTTATCAGGATAAATCAGGGTCGGAAACGGAATATTGTTCTGGAATGCTCATGGTTGCATGCATCTAGTATGAAGTGGATTAAACCAAAAATAAATATTATGCGCAAGTCCAAGTGCCATTTCTTCAGGAACGAGGATGTTACAAAGGTCTGAAAACCCCAAACTGTGATTTCTAGCTGAAAATGGGAATGATGCAAGAAAAGCAAGAATAAATTACTAAACAGACACGTCACGAATATATATAATTTCGGTGAACGAATATGTTACAGAAAAAGTTTGAATCTATTACGAAATGTCTATCCCCGGCCGTGGATGAGGCCAATAACATTATATCCTTTTATTTGTACCTAATAAAAGGATATTTGTACCAATGCAGTGATACTATATACTGCATGCATTCTCTTGTTCATGGAATGTAACTCTGTTTTTTATGACTTTATTTTGCTTACCCCAAATTGATTTTATTGTGCTCTATCACATTCTTACATCAAAACTTGAAATGCTTATATCTCCTCACATTATGTGTACACACTTATATTGATCCATACTTATTTACAATTATTGACAATGATAATATTAGAATGACTGAATATTTACGTATAATTCTATATTCAATTTTAAGAAACATATATTAGTTAACTTAAAAATATAATCAACTGAAAAAATCAGTGACAAGTAATGATAAATGATCTTTCCATTTAATTATAATTTTCATCTTATATTAGTGCAACATATGACTCTATACATGTGATGATATCATATGCTTGCTTCACAAAATCTGTTGATAACATAATTTGTTGTACTTCTCAAAATCTCTTTCATATAGATTATATATATCTATGCATAATCAAAACCTACAAGAACTATATTAAAGTTGAACCTTACATCTTTTCATATTAGTCTTTTAAACATCATTAATTTAAGCAATTTTTCAACATATTGTTTGTCTCATAATTTAACAGTTAATATTCATTTTTGATAAATTTATATTGTCATAGGACAAAATTGTATACTACTTTTGCTTTTAGCTCTATCAATCTAATGTAATAGCTTGCTGATGATGATATTGATCACAATATCACTGTAGATAATATTTAGTAATATCATGCATTGTTCATGATTTCATTAATCATTACTTGTAGTATATTCAAAAAATGATTACAATTTAATATCTACAAATTTATGTTAATAGAACAAAAAATGTAATATGTGTGACTTTAACAATAAGTTGTAAATGAATTATGAAAATGTTGGTAATGATATACTATTTGCTTCATTACCAAGTAAATAAATTGCACCTTACATTTTTCATCAATCCAAGGTGATGCTTTGTTAAAATGATTAAGATATCAAATCATAAAATATGAACAATATGCTTTTCAACACTTTGCCAATCTACCATAATTTGCATTCCACTCATTTATTTTTATTGTATTACAAGTCACAACAATTGCACATGGTTGTGAAACACATTTATTTTGTACAACATTCTCATCAGTAATAAGTAAAATCAATAAAATCTAATGTATACTATGATACATATGTATTGATGATAATTTTCTGAACTTGATCCAATCAACATGTGATATTAACATCACGGAGAACTTGATATGTTAATATTTGACTGAGTATTATATCTATAGCAACATTCTTTTCACATTTCAAATCCTTGTGACTCATGCATCAATTTGTTAATTATATCATGCCACTTATCAGACTATCAAGCAATCGATACTTGCAATAATACAATACATCATCCGATTTAATGTTTTGATTGACTTTTGATAACACATCCAAATACTAAGAAGCCATACATGATACTGCCATGCAAAATGTTGAAGTTTATTAGCGCGCACAAACAAAAACAAGATTTAATAATCACACGTAGTTCGTCAAAATGGTGACATAATAAACTCAACATTGATTTAATGTCATACATCTTATTATAATCCAAATCAGTATTTAGTTCTAAAAAATATCAAATTATTTGCATTTAACATATTCTAGTATATACACAACATATGTGATCATAATTTATGGTGTGTATGTACGTTGAACAACATTTATGTCACACCTGTTTTTTAAAATGTTCGTATTCATCTTATTATTGGTTTGCAGTTTATAGTTTAATAATTGAAGAAGATAAAAGTAGTATTATTTTTTCATTGCAAATATGTCAAATTCAGACAATAAATCTTCATTTATTATACGCATTTCAAATAAATTTTTGATTGATGATTAGAAATTTTTTTTTAAAAAAATTTATATAAATTTTCAAAAAATTTGAAATTAAACACTGACCTATTTACAAGATTATTTTCTTGCATTGGAATAATTGATGCTAAAATCATTCTAATAAGCATATGAAAAATAATGCAATACAGTCATGATAGTCTTATCACATATTTGAATAATCATTGAAATGTAAATCTAAATCAAAGAAAAATATTGCATTATTTATTTATTTTATTAATAGTTAAATATCAATATTCATTCAATAATAGCTTGAAAATTAATCTTCATTACAGACATTTTGTTACCATTGGAATGCACTGTAACTCGTGGTATATATGTAATAAATAGAGTTATTAAAATTTGCAAATCATTTATGTAATATATATATATATATATATATATTATAAATATATATAATAAAATTCATAATAAAAAAAATCATTTAGATTTCAAATATTTTACACCTTGTAAATATTTTTTGTATTATTTTAAAATGTGGATAATATCTTAATGGAAGTCAATGAATTTTTGGAGATCAAATGAAGTACGAAATTTTAAACTCGTAAATGAACATGATGAAATTCAACACATGAAACATATTTTATGTAACATCTTATACATGTAAGCATTTCGAAGATATCTTTGATGCAGGTATTACCAAGAGATACAACATCACATTGAAAGAGAAAACGTAGATAAATCATAATGATTCAAATCATGTCGGATGATTGGTGAAGGTTCTTGGCGTAAAGATGATGGAACAATGAGGGTTTTGCTAAATCTTGGAGTTGTTCCTGCTGTTTTCAAACGTAGGAGGTCTAGAATTATCGATATTCTGCTTCCTGGAGCTGAAAGATTGAGCTCAAATTCCGGTTGTTGTCTGAGTACAGTGAAGGGAGTAGCACTAGGAAGGGAAGGGCTTAGGGTTAGGGTTTAAGGAAGATTTATACGCTATCTCTGTGTGTGACAGGTTTGAATTCGATAGAATTAATTGCATGTCAATTTTGTAATGCATGCACGAGAGAACGGATGGGAAGTGGATTGGGAACGATGAAGTTGACTGACGAATGACAAGACTGTAGAGTGGGCGAGCATTGAATTTCGCGGAGAGAATGGCATTGAGAAGGAAAGGATTCCAGGCAGTGGCAAAATTTGCCGTGTCTAGGAATGAGATCATCGGGCAAAATCTCTGCAGATATGGACAGCTGCGCGTGCTCGGTTCTAACCTTCTCAATTCATCATCTCCTGCGCAGGTACTTTCTTTCTCTGAATTGCGTGTATTTCTCCAGATTTGCATTCCTTGATCCAGATTGAGTTTCTTTTGGGTACAAAGGAGTTTTCGAATGCTTTTGCGATCTATAGTTTATGACGATCAAGAGTTCCGTAATGTTTGGGGAAAATTTTGACCATACCAAACACATCAGGAATGCAAGCCCGACGAATTTGTGATTGACATATCCGGATTTTGCTTTATCGTGCTCTGCAGAGGCAGAGCCTGTTGAGCCGATATGGTAGCAGACGTGCTGCTTCGACTGTCGGGCAGGCAGTGCAAGTACCAGCACCATGGCGCGAATTTCCAGGTTTCTTTTTATGTTAGCTCAAGAATTGGATATGTTTTAGCCACTGATTTTCCACGGAGCTCAAGACGGATGGAATTGATAATTGTTTTGCAAAATTGTTTTCGAATACTTAGAACCCATGTTCCCAGACAAGGCTGAAACTCTTTAATCGTGTGTACCCGGTATAGATTGCTTAGTTCTAGAGTGAATTTCGGGAAATTTGATTGAGAATTGTTCAAATTATCAGTCAAATTGATAATTTGAACAATAAATCCTTCTCTTAATTCTGAATGAAAGAGAATGAATCTGTGCAGCCAGTGGTCAGGTTTTTTTGGAGGAAACCCAGATCGGTCCCAAAACAATCACTTTCGAGACAGGGAAGCTTGCCAGGTTTGCTGCAGGGGCAGCAGTAGTGAGTATCAAAGATACGAAAGTTCTCGCAACTGTCGTTTCCGATTATGTGCGAAAGGAAGGCATGGATTTTTTACCACTTCAGGTTCGTACTACAGTTGGCGGTTAGTCTGTATTATTCACAGGTTTTATCAGCATGGGAAGAAAATATAAATTGAACGAGGAGCAGGAAATCTGAAGTTGTGCCTCAACTGCTGAGGAAAAAAATTGACCACCATCTAATGCGCAGGTGGAATACAGAGAGAAACAGTATGCGCAGGGCAAAATCCCCAATACTTTTATGCGAAGAGAGGGTGGGCCAAACGAACGCGAGCTCCTTTGTGGGCGTGTGATTGACAGATCGATCCGTCCTCTCTTTCCAAAGGGTTTCTTTTTCGAAACTCAGGTTTTTGTCCCAAGACCGGCGCATGTTTCCTCGAAATTCTCATCGTGTTTTTAACTAATATATTAGTTTTAGAAAGTGCTGTACTTGATTATATGTGCAATTTTTAGCAGGATTCTTATCAAGTTGTGTATTTTGTGGGGCTGGTCGATGGGCTGCCGGGTGGGCTGGGGCAGATTATAGCAAATGTGCTGTGCTCTGATGGTGATCAAGACCCAGATGTCCTTTCTGTGAATGCAGCATCTGCCGCCTTGACTATTTCAAACATACCCTGGAATGGACCAATTGGTGCAGTTCGTGTAGGTCGTGTGAATGGAAAGTTCATCGTCAATCCAAATATGAACGAGGTAGAACTACGCATTCGTAACTCCTGAACACGTTGTCATGCCTTTTTTCCATTCCTTTCCTCCTTACCCTCATGTCTTCGCTCCCTAATATTTTCAGGTCAGAAACAGTGATTTGAACATGATATACGCTTGCACGGCAACGAACGCTTTGATGATAGAGACACAAGCTGGGGAGATTTCCAACAAGGATTACGCTGCTGCGCTACATCTTGCTCATTCCGAGGTGAGTTACATTGTTAATTGAGACAGGCCTTTGATCTAACTGAAACCGAGATGCATTCGGTGTTTTAGCGCCTATTACACGATTCATGGACCGAGTAATAGGTGCTCGAAAGAGGGAACGTGACTTCAATAGAGCTTCCAAATTTGAAGAAGCTCCAAAGAAAGGAAGGTTAGAGACCCGTGTGATGGGCCACTATCTCGTACGGTTCGGAGAACAATTGAGTAGCCCAGATATTCACCGCTTAACGTTATTGATTTCAGGCCGTCAAGCTCATCGAACCACAATTGCGATTGGCAGCTAAAGTGAAAAACGAGAAGAGGGCGGTTCATCTTCTGACCGTTCCTGATTCTGTTCTGGAGAAGATACGAGGCATTTCGACAGAGCCAATTCGGTCTGTGATGGAGAATCCATTGTTTGGCAAGGCTAGTCTCTACGGCGATTTCCTCATTCAATGCACTTCCTTTACAAGATATTCCTTTTTTACTAATGGCGGAAGGGTTATTGTCTGGGCTCAGCGCGTCTTGTGGCTGTATCCAGTTAGTGCATTGTTTGAGTCAAGAGTTCTTTCTCTTTGTTTCTTTGGCGACCTCGTACTAAGAGGATCCTTTTCGTTGTCAGCTTGGAACTAAACTGTTGCGTTTATGCAGTTTGAACGAGGGAAGGCTCTTACCACGGTTCAAGATAGTGTAGGGGAGATTTTGAAGGCTGGAGGAGATGAAGATAGTGTGCAAGTACTCGGGAAGGCATTTGACATGGTCAAGAAAGATGTAAGTCTGGGTCCTATAGTTATTGCTAACTTGTTTTCCACTCTGGAGGTCTTTCATTGCATCATCACTTCCTACTGATTTTTTTTTTCATTTCTTTAAGTAAGTCTGATACAGTGGATGATTCTTTTTAGCACCGTCATTTAGGCAAATACGAACTAGTACGCATTTTTACTGTCATAGATCGAATTCATCTGAAGAGCTTTTTCGCATTGCAGGTTGTTCGTGGCAACGTATTAGCCAAAGGTCAGAGAGTGGACGGGAGATCACTCACTGAGGTCAGGGAGCTGTACTGCGAGGCTGGCCTCCACTCTGCTTTGCATGGGTCATCTCTTTTTTCTCGTGGCAATACGCAGGTAAGATGTCTAAACATTTTTCCTGTTCTGCCTGCAAGATTTATGATAAGTTGTCCAAAACTCTTGCTAAGAAGCTTGTAACACAGGTCCTGTGCACTGTCACCATGGGAGCCCCAGATGACGCGCAACGTTTGGACTCCATTGTTGGACCTGATTCCAAGCGTTTCATGGTTCACTACAGTTTTCCTCCCTTCTCCGTAAACGAAGTCGGACGTCTTGGTGGTCTTAATCGGCGTGAAGTTGGACACGGTAAAGACGTCTAAGTCTGAGTTACATTCCTTTGTGGACTTGGAAAGGACTGGCCATAATGATGGATGTGTGGAATGGAATCACCGAGGGTTACCAGCGAATGTGTTGAATATTTGAATGGCGGCTTGCATGTGCAGGAACTCTTGCTGAGAAGGCATTGTTGTCAAGTCTCCCATCCGAAGAGGAGTTTCCATACAGCATCCGAGTTACTTCCGAAGTTCTTGCATCGGATGGATCTTCCTCTATGGCTACTGTGTGTGGAGGTCCGTCGATTCATTTGAGTTCATTCCAGGGCAATCGATGAATTTGTGTCATTCCAAGGCAGTTTATGACTTTACATGTCCAGTGGCCATCCTTGTTTGCAACGATCAAGGGTCTCAGTTCGTGCTCTACTTTCAAATTGAGTTTAATTCCCGCTTGTGATGTACATTGCAGGAAGTTTGGCATTGATGGACGCCGGGGTACCTCTCCGTGAGCACGTGGCAGGTGTGTCTGTTGGTCTTGTTACTATAACTGATAAAACAACAGGAGAAGTGAAGGATTACAAGCTTCTTACAGACATTCTGGTAGGAATGTATTCCTCCTTTGAGGACTTGCCTCTTCTCTACAAATGAATATTTCAAACTCATTTTGCGATTCATTGGCACATTCCAGTTTCGAAGTGCTGCTAACTGAGAAAGTATGGATGACTTTAGGGTTTGGAGGACCATCTGGGAGACATGGACTTTAAGATAGCCGGAACAAGACACGGTATAACTGCTGTACAGCTGGACATGAAGCTCCCTGGAATTCCTCTTCCCATACTGATTGAGGCTTTGGAGCCTGCACTAGTAGGTCGAAGTCACATCATTGATACCATGGAGAAAGTGATAGTAAAACCCCGAGAAGATCTTAGAGAGAACACTCCACGAAGAGGTGAATTGGTTGATTTTTTTTTATCTCGCTGATATCGGAAGTGGTTAAAGCCTTTGTGTACTGTAGATGTGGATGTGCTAAGGTCTTGTAAGTACTTTCATCTGTTCAATTTCCCTTTTTCATGTTGATCATGTATTCAAGCTTCAGGTGACGTCCAAAGAAACACACCAAATTGAAACCGTCACTTCATGAACGTTTCCAGGTCAAATGACGATCTTACGTGAAAGTATTGGTCGACTTATTGGACCACAGGGCACAACAATAAGGAATATTCAACGCATGACCGGTGAGTTCCCTCTACTCCATGTGTGCACGGAGGATGATCATCTGTTGCTTATTCGCCAGGCCAATTTTCATGGCTTTCTTGGGCTTTCATGTCATCCTCCTAGTCGCCAATCCTCAATGTTAAACTTTATTGTTCTAGATGAAGATGATCGGCTGACTGAAGTTTGATCTGATAAACAGGAGCCAAGCTTAACGTCTCGGACGATGGCGTTTTGACTATCTTTGCCAGAGACCAGGCTTGTTATGATCAAACGAAGGAGATGGTATCTCCACCTCTCTACATTGGTCCTGCCTTGTGATTGTTGGATTAGCACACGAGGCATGGGGATGACTTCTTTACACTGTTGGTAGCATGTGGGTTGGCGTTACCAGTTTCACATGGCCAGCGCTCGATGATAAATCTTACCGATAACGTCCTTTTTAACAGCATCACGAAAGTCTGGACTAAGACAAGTATCTGATTTGACCCGCTTTTGAAGGTTGAAGCATGTATCGGGCGAGAAGTGGAAGTAGGTGGTTCCTACTTTGCCACAGTCGTGGCTATCAAAGACTTCGGAGCATTCGTGGAGCTTGATGGAGGTCTTCAAGGAATGGTCCACATATCAGAAATCTCACATAATAAAGTAAGTGAGAACGAGAAATTTCATCTTCACCAGCCTTGTCTCTTGACAGTGATCATTTAGTAATTAGAGACGTCTCACATGACTTGGTTGGTGTTCAGGTGGCAAGCATCGGAGATGTACTCATGCTAGGGCAACAGCTGAAGGTGGTTTGCATCGGACGTGATATGCGTGGTAATCTGAAACTATCGCGGAAAGCAGCTATGTCTCCAGAGGAAGAGTCTGCGATCGTGATAGCAAAAACGTTTTCTATTTCTAAAGCAGCTAGCGGGGTTTTGGAGAAGAGTACATCCCTAGGTAACCAAATAAAGTCTTCAGTATCTGAAGGATTTTTGAAACAGACGTCAGAACAGCGGGTGAGGACTAGTAGTAGAGTGGAAGAGGTAATCGGTGATGTGTCATCTTCGTTGAAATCCGATATGAGCAGAGGAACCGTCGAGGTGACTGAGGAGGTGTCTGTTAGTACCTCCACAGAGTCAACCCCATCAACAACTACAACTACAACAACAAATGAAAGCCACAAACGTAGAAGAGCGTCTCCTGCATCAACATCCTTAGAATCCACGTCCGATGAAGGATCTTCTTCACCGAAAACAGGGTTAAGAACGAGAAGGCCGAGCATTAGGACAAAGGCGAAGAGTAACGGAGCAAATCAGGAACCCAGTTTTGGACTAGGAACCGAGTAGAGTAACCTCTTGGGTAATAGATTTTGGTGTTCACAGAGACTTAGAGATGGTTTGGAACTCTTAGATCCAAGTCCAGAAAATTTTGCCAGCAGCAGTAGGAGCCTCAACATGTTCAGGTACTTGGAAATGACCGATCATCTATTTACCCCTCATTGCGTGTATGTCCGCGGCATAATGTCACGAGGGTAATGAATGTTGTCATCTGACAATTCGTTTACTGCTTTTGCAGACAATTAGGTGAGACATGACGAAGGAACCTTTGGAGTAAAGCAGCGGCTCTCAGGGACACCGTTGCTTAAAATCTGAAATCAAAGCGAGAGGCAGTCTTGGTTTCTCCATGTAATTTGAAGTTTGGCTTACAACGACGAGTATCGTACTTGACATCAATTTTTACAGGCGTCAAAATGGGGTGACACCTTCAGAATATAATTGTCATAAGCTGTTCTACGCTGAATTGCTTGTTCCATCTGGGACGGTCCATCCTGATGGATGTTTACAACAGAGGTCTACATCTGTGACGGAAAGAGCTTTATGTACATCTATCGTGTATTATCAGTCGATCACATTCTTTTGGTGCTAAGCACTCTGTCCCACTGATCTCGGTACAAAGTCCTGTGTGATGAGTTACACTCAAAATTGCCTCGCCTGACTCATTGTGGTCCGAATACTCCCAAACGATCTACAAATTGTTGCAAGCCACGTGGACGATGGACCTGATGTTGCGTCTACCACTCTGAAAGATGAATATGTGCTAGAACTGAAGCGTCTCTATCTTACCCTGTCCGCTTCTGGTCCATTGCGTACCGCAGCACAATTTGTATGTGGCAGAATACATGGAAGCTGTTTATTAAATGAGACCAATTGTCCCGCATTTTCAGTAAGGTTTGGTTTGGTTCCGAGGGTCATTGCCATCTAGCCGGTGTAAATGATGGCATATGGAGTAAGTGTATCAGTCATTTCCTAATTGTTGTTTACAATTAGAGATGTGAAGTGACACATTTATCCATATATGTAGTCAGTAAGTGACATTCATCTCTTGGTGTTTCACACTTCACATCATTTGTATTCACGTGTATGAGTCTTATGGCTGTCTTGACAGCTACAACGTCCTTTGAGTTTCACTTATACTTATTACCAAATGCACATTCCACCCCAACGATCAACACTGCAGTTACTTCTTGCGGACTCCTTGTCCAACAACGTCATCTTTTTCGATGGCTTCAGTCCCTTCAGCAGGTTGAATTTCATGTATAATAATTAATCTCATCAACTCTTGAGTTTATTGACCATCTTCTAGCAGAAGTCGGTTGTCTTTGGGAATCAGTATGCTTACTGCTTGAAAGATGTAAAACGTTTGCGGTGTGCCACACTAGACAGGTCACCATCGGGAGTTCCGGCAGCTCAATTGTGATTATGCCAGGAATTACTGGGTTCGGTAAGTATATTTCAACTTCATCCGGAGGCGTAAATTGCACGGGAAGTAAACAACCAGAGTATTACAGAAGCTTACTTTCTCTAACTAGGTCTTAGGGTTTTTTACTAAACCCTAAGACCTAGTTTGGACTATTGTGAGTCCTTGGATGGTATTTATCTAAAGCAGAGGACAGCAATGCCGAAGCTGCAAGGGCAAACGCCCGGAACGCATCAATATCGTTCAAACTAACTGTTGCAAGACGGAAGATTACTGACTGGTATGCATCGATTACACTCTTTTCATCTACTTGGAAAGCCTCGATACGAAGTTGATACAAGTGCCCAGCAACATAATAGCCGCCACCAGTCGATTGTTAACAGTCCGTTCTATCCCAACAGTCTTGAGAAATATATGTTCGTTCTTTAGAAAGGCCTCAGCACTCCGATTGTATTCACTACACGATCACTGCAGACTGTTGGACAGGCATGTTGACATATGTGGAAGAATCTCTGAATACATGAACTTAACCGTGTATATGACTACGCTATGATTTCTCTATAGTCAAAAGCTTACGGACTCTGAACGTGAATATACCTATTGCGTCGAGACAGGCTTGAGGTTGATTATCAAGACCATTGATAGTGAAGGACCGATCAAGGTTTTACATCAACAGTGACTTTGGACTTTCAGAGCGGGCAGATCCGCTGGCAACGCCAAAATCTAACTTCTTGACAAGGGACATGTTTGCGAGAATGAAAATCTGATCTCTGCAGGGAGTTAAGTCTAGTGCATCTGTTTGGAAGAGAGTGATTGGAATTCGGTGAAACTCGGTGAAGTTCATTTTTGTAAGTGAAGCTCTCTAGTCTCGGATTATGTGAGCAGCTGTCAAGGGCATCCGAGCATACGATGCTTCTTGCTGGCGTATGTATATTGATGAAATGAATGCACGGCATGAGGAGGTGGAAACAACAATCCTCACCTGAACGGATCCTGAAGAAGCAACTGCCACAAGGTCCTCTTGTACATTTGTTGTGCATAACATTCATCGAACTGCTGCAAGTTGGAAGCGAGTTCTTGTCGTCGTTGCGTTGAGATATTCCAGAGTCGCTCCCGAGCTTTGAGTCGTTGAATGATGACTGGAGTCCTCTTCAACATCATCATAACTTTCACGATCAGATTTCTGTCTTGAAAATTTTCGCCCTGACGTGAACTTGTTCCGGGAGTGCGATAGTATTCGTTGTGCCGAAAATTAATTACTGGACGATTTCACGTTATGTTATGACAGTGATGGAGCCGTGTAGCGTATATAGATGCTGCACAGACAGAGATTCCCGGTACCTTGGACAACTACTAAATCCACACGGATGAAGCATGCTCAAACCTCCACACGGTTTTGATAGGCTTCGACTGCTTCAGAATTCACGTGCTTCCAAGATCTTCTGTGATAAAGCGATCAGCAGCGAAGGGGCAACTCGCTGGGATACCATGTTCGATAAAATTCACAGTTGATCCTTGGAAGAAACTACAGTTTTTAACTGAATAGTTGAAACATGAGGAACACAAACCAGTGAATAGGTGAGGAACACTCACTGGAACACAAACCTCGTCCGACGACTCCAAACGCACTTGACGCCAAGGCACACGCACTTGACGTCTGATAAAGTTGTACATTTGAGCCCCAAAAGCTCACTTTTCATCAAAGCTATTCCTTGAGAGCTGGGCTCCTCTGACCATGTCCATGTTCCACCGGCAGTAGGAGTTTCCTAATTCGAATCCACGGGCCAGAAATACAGCAGAAGTTCTACAAAGCCCAAGTACAGATTTGTGGGAGAAGCCGGTGCATGAGTCACAGTCACGAATAAGTACGAGGCTGAATAGACAGTTTCGCAAGGAACTTAGAGCATCTGAGTATACATCCAGAACTGATTGTATTCTAACCTGCTTCAAACTACGTTAATCTGCAAGCAATACTCCGCAGAAGCGAACCTTGTAGCTTGCCCAGCTTGGAAGGTGGAAGTAATTAAGCTTTTAGAGTTCAGGGTGGGCCAGTTCAAGGCGGCCAGGTCATATGGACCATAAAATTCGCAAGAGAGGCTCAATCCAGGAATCAAGAGGAGTGCAGAAACAGTACAGGAGGACTTTTTAAAGCACCATAATAATGCTTACAAGAGGATAATTGAGAGTTTCGAACAATTTGCCCTACCTTACTGATTATCGCGATGTGCTGTTCACAACGTGAACATGTATACACTCCATGAACTACAACGAGACCTACCGTTGCGAACTTGGCTCGGATTTGGCTCGGATTTGTTATGGGCACATGCCTATCTCAATTGTTCAAGTTGAGATATATGCACCGAAGTAGACAATTTGTGTTATGGCTGTCATGTATGAGGAGGCTCGGAAGTCGGGGTGGGTCTAGGCTGCAGTGGGGTAAGCGGAACTCGGACAGGGGTAGACTATTGCAACATCTTCAAACTAGGAAGTTTGTGTTGCACTCCGGGTTTGGACGGGTAAAGTGAAGAAATCTTCATCCATAGGTGCATACTCCAATTACTGAGATAATTCTTCCCAACACATAAGTGTACTAAATAACGTTGATTGGGCCTTCACTATAACTGACATCATCATTCAAACTCGTTTTTGAAGCCAATGAGATTGGTGGTACTATCCGGCAGAAATTTTATCGTGCGGGGCTTTGGCCCTTGCACTTACAACAAAGTCTTTGAGGTACAACAAAGATCAAAGTTCATGCCTTATAACGCTTCATGTGCATTTCCAGGTTAGATTCTTTCACGAACCTTCACATGTTCCACTTTGATACAAGTGAAAAATCTCCACTGTTGTGGAATAATTCGGACAAAAAAACTCCTAAACTAACCATCAACACAAGTACTACCCTTTTAGTACAAATTCGCGAGTAATGTCTATGAAAGGGAAAGATGTAACATGTTTGCATATCGAGTTTCACTTTATTCAACACTCATTATGATGAACATTCTTATTTATAACGCATCAACATAAGTAGGGAGTGAAGATGAGAGTGCCAACAAAGAAGTACAAAACACTTTTTTTTATTTCAAAAACAACCAGCCCAATTCAGACTGACATGAACCCAATTTGGCATCCCAGTTGTTAAAATGGATGTAATCCAAAAGACATATATATCTCGGTGAACTCATCTGTGCTGAAACTCCTATAACCTCTCTTCGGACTTCCACTACGTTCTCTTCTATGAGAGAATCCCCCACCTCTTACTACAGATGTCTCTGCTGCTGTGCTATCCATTCCTGCTGTGCATTTACTCCGGGCGAGGGAATCATTGCATACCACGGGTCATAGAAGAATTTCGGCTCGAAAATCCAGTTTCCATTTTCCAATCGATCTGGATGAGGAAGTTCCGGTAAATTTACCATCAAGTCTAATTCCGACCAGTATCTCGCCACCTCAAGGTATTCGTATTCACCTCCTATCTCGATATGAACCCCCATGTCGTCGACGAAGAACAAATCACTGCCTCCTGCACCGTAAATTTTGAAAGGTACGCCATCCTCGAAGTCCCTTCGATCTCTATACCTCCTCATCAGAGATCCATCCATCCTCTGGACCATTGGATGACGGAGGAAGTTGCCTTCATAGCTCCTACCATCCATCTCAATATTACTCCAATCCATGGCGAGTAAACACAAACGACCTTTATACGCAGTAATGTGAAGGCCATCTGACGTGTCCTCCCTGACTTCCTCTGCCATGACGTTCCATCTTTCTTCGCTCAGATCAAATATCAGCAGAGCCCTTATTAGGAACGTGGGATCAAATACGAGCCAATATACACATCCATTACATAATTCACTTTTCCCATCTTTGCACTCTACTTTCCTCCAGTTCAACAATGTAGGAAACTGATCAATAATCCACGACCATGTACTGGTAGTTGAATTGTAAATCAAAGATCTGCGTCTATCAGGGAATAGAACTCCTCCCAAAACCAGCTTGAAGTGTTTTGTAGATTGGTTCACGACTAAACCCACCATGATGCACTTCAGCTTACCATCAAAAACTGTAGGTAATCCATCGACTTCATGAGGTACGTTTAAGATCAGAAATTTGTCCGGAACTGAGTCATACATAACATATTCAGTTGAGAACATTTCACTGAAACACACTAGGCCTCCATCAGCAGCGACCACCTCCTTGGGCCCAAATGTAATAAACCTTCCGATCCGTCGATCAAGAAAGCAAAAGTAGATCCTATTACCAGTACATTCATCATAAAGAAGAACTTGTATGTTCTAGATTTTGTGCCGCAACTCCGGACCATCTATGATATTCTTCCATCTCCTACAAACTAAGCGACATTCCGCAAGAGTGAAAACTGGCCGATCCTGATCTCTGAGAATGTTGACCAGTAACTCAATAGGTAATGTTTCCCATAGATAGTGAGGTCGATCTTCTTCCCCTTCAACTGCCATTGCAATGAACGGGCTCTAAAGGACGATATACATGAGGTTTATATCTGGAACGTCTCAGAATGGGAACAAATATCAGTCAATTACGAGTAACTCTCGACAACAAATCTCACGCTCGCGGTCACAGATAGGCTTAGATGTGAAAGATCTTATTCAACAACATTTTTATTTGTGTGATATATGGACGAAAGAAGAGAGGTAACACACGACAACGAAAGAAGTTCCTGTCATGTTCGGAGCTCTCACGTTCTGGACCGGAATGTTAGAAACCACCACTGGTGATAATTGGCTTCTGTGTTATACAAAATGAATGAGCTCATATATATGGGAAGCCCCTAAAAATAGCCCCGCGGTACTGTACAGTATTGGGGCGACTGTACGGGCTGACGTGGACCACGAAGATCTTAGGGCAAGCAAGCCCTGAGATCTTTGGAGTAGAGCGTCCAGGGTTTCGCGAGAGGGGCTGACTGGTGCCAACAGAGGGGGCTGGGGCTGCTGTGAGTGCGAGTGAGGCAAGGCAAGGCAAGGGAAGGGAAGGGAAGGGGGCAGGGAAGGGCCAAGGCGAGGGCAGGAGGGAGGCAGCGAGGCAGCGAGGGCAGCGCGTAAGAGAAAGAGGGCCCGGGGGCAAGACAGTGACTAGAGGAGGCGAGGGTTCACATCTTCGTAATTTTACAGTTCCATTTCGCGTGCTGGGGATCTTCGGACGAAGGGAAGACACACCGAAGCAAGCAAGGAAGGACAGGGAAGGCACGCACTCGAGGGAGAAAGACACCGAGAGAGAGAGAGAGAGAGAGAGAGGGAGACAGTGACAGAGAGAGAGAGAGAGAGAGCGAGTTCACTTCACTCCCTAGGCCCAGTCCAGACCACTCCACTCGACTCCAGAGTTTCGAAGTTGGCTTCAGAGTTTCGACGCAGCAGAGGCAGCCAGCAGGCGCAGCAGCAGCAGCCAGCCACCACCGGACCACAGACTAGCAGCATGGCTCTCGTGAGTTGAATCCGTTGCTCGCATTACGCTACGCCTCTCTACTAGTTCCGCTGTGCCTGTGGGTTTTGTGCTTGTGGAATCTCGATTGGGTGAGTGATGCAGAGTGAGCTCGGCCGTTGTGTTTCGTGCAGGGATCGGAGGCGCTGAATCCGAAGGCCTACCCGCTGGCCGACGCTCAGCTCACAATAACTATCATGGACATTGTTCAGCAGGCGGCCAACTACAAGCAGCTCAAAAAGGGCGCTAACGAAGGTGCATGAGCAGCAGTCGCCTCGCTGTGATTCACTCCTGTTCTCCCCAGTTATGGTGTTTTTTTATTTTCTTTCCTGTCTCGTGCGCCTTCCGGCCGCAAGCGCTTCATCTGCGCTGCTTCCAAGAACGCCGCTACTGCTCTTGGGCATCTTGAATTCGCTCCGGAGGCGGTTACGGGCTTTGTTCATCTTTGTTTTCTCCGAGCAGCTGACGAATGCAATCTGCGTCCGCTGGTTCCGACGGCGGGGCTGGCACGAGACGCGCGAGCAAATTGCTTCGTTCTATCTCGTGTGATCCCCGGAGAGGTTGCTGCGATCTAACATCCGCTTGCATGTCGTGCTTGCAGCCACCAAGACCCTGAACAGGGGTATTGCCGAGTTCGTGGTGATGGCTGCAGACACGGAACCTCTGGAAATACTGCTGCACTTGCCACTGCTGGCGGAGGACAAGAACGTGCCTTACGTCTTCGTCCCCTCGAAGCAAGCTCTAGGCCGTGCATGTGGCGTCTCCCGGCCCGTGATTGCCTGCTCTGTCACCTCGAACGAGGGAAGCCAATTGAAGTCTCAAATACAACAACTGAAGGTACAGCCGCGATTTCGTGAGCTCGTCGTACGCCGTTGCCCCGCATTCTAACCTGCAGGAGCTCCAGGACGTGCCGATATCTCGACAGCGTGAAATCCAGAGATTGATTCTAATTCATTCATTCATGCATTCATTCGTTTATTTATCGACAGGAGAATTCGTCGACGCATTTTTCTGAAACCGTGGAGCGTTGTTGTGTTGCAGGACGCAATCGAGAAGCTACTGATTTGAGCGACTGTCCCAGGGGACAAAGTATGTGCTGTACGGTGTTGCAGTGGTGAAAGGTGCTCGGCAGCCAGCCTGCTGACTGCCGCTTTATCATGGAACCTGAGGCTGCAGCACATCTCGAATATGCCGGCTGTAACTTTATCTACCTAAAGCAATAGAAGTTCAGGCACTAATGAGACGGTCATTACGGCGAAGATGGTAGCCTTCTAGAAAGTCGTTTTTGTCCGACTTAATTGAATCATGGCCGTCGAGGTGGGTTTTTTGGTCAAGGTGTGGACATTGCCCTATTTTATGGGAAGGATTTATCTACGACTTCTGGGGAATGAAGTTTTTTGTTCGCGGGCCCGCGTTTGTGCCGCCGAGGTGAACGCCTCGGAGTCGATGCGTCACGAGCGTAGCGTAGAGGAGGAATGCTGGTGACGCATGGACCAAAGAGAAGATCCAGACGTCGAAGTAAAACTTCTGGATATTATTGTCACCTGTCGCGAAATCATGAATGAAAAATCTTCTGCATTTTGTCAAATTCTGACGTCCCCAGGGTTTGATCGATCGATGGATGAATGATTCCCCCCTATTTCCGCCCGTCAATTTGCTCCTTTCTCATGTGCCCCCATAAACCCTAAAGCCGCCTCTCGAATGTGCATGCAAACCCTTGTTTTCTTGTGCCAAGTGTGCGAGAAATCTTGAACGCGCTTTTTATGCGCCAATGCTCTCTTCCTGTCTGCACGTCGTCGACGAATCAAGGGCTATTGGCCATCGAAAGAAACCAAGGGCCATTGGCTCGGGATGTATCTAAAACCTGCTGCGGGAAATTGAATGTTTGCAATAGTGAGTCGTATCCTCGAGAATCGTGAATGAATGAAGGAAGGACAGTGTGATGGAAGCCGCGGGCTTTATAATATAGCACCGACTGATTTTTTGGCAAGTTGTCTACAGACTTTTGTATCCATGGCTGGTGTGAAAAGTACAATGATTGAGAAACTAATCCTGTCCCGGCCCAGGCCTGCTCTGCGCATTAACAAAACAGTCAGCCCTGGCGGATGATGTCATAAATACCACTGCAGCTCAACAAAGCTTGCACTTCGTTCTCTGGCTTCGTGCAGAGTGGAAATCAGGGGGGGCCTGATGGCTCGCGCATCGGAATCTCCCCCCGGCTATCGATGGCGTATGTCGATGACGTAGAGGTTGCGGAATGACTGATCGGGCCAAGCATGGCTCCGACTGTTAGATTAGATTAGGTCTCTAAAAGACGAAACAAGAGCGAACCTGATCCGGGAGGCTCTCTGCAGATTCCTGCATGGTTCCATTCACGCTCTCGCTGTGGGATTCTCTGTTACCAGCCCCTGCGGAATGTGTCGTACCAAGTCCCGTGGCGATGGCCATCGCAGCATGCACTGGATCGCGCTCTGTCCCGGACCTCGGCCCATCCTCGCTGCAGCTGCTGGCCTTCCTTTACACTCGCACGATGGGCGTGACGGGGCCGATCGTGATCACCCCCTCGCTCAGCCCGCATTGAATTTTCTCACCTCACGGACGAGGGGAAAATGTCATTGGGAAGGTTTTCTTCCCTGATTTCTGATTCTGGAAAATCCTGCAGGTGGCACCGAAACTAGGTTTCAACTGTTAGCAAAACTCTGGCTAGGACCACTCCACTCACTGAGCGGTTACCATTCATCAATTCGCAGCTCCAGAGCGCAGCGATGCATTCGGTCAAAGGCACGGGCACGGGGTTAGGTGTCTCGAACGCTCGTTGTTAATTCATCGGTGGTGTTTTATGATCTGTCCGGCCGAAATGTCAGGAGTAGGAATTCGAGAAACGTGAATGAACGAAGGGCATTTCCGTATGCTGGCACGATCGGCGGGTTCAAATCTCGGTTTCCCGTGTGTGCGATCCGAGAGTTCACTCCCGAAGGTTAAACCCTGCGGAGTAAAGGTTTGGCAAATCTTGGCACGCAGTAAATCTCCACGAGCGGAAGATTCGGGCCTTTCGCAGTACGGATGCCATTCCAGACAAAATTGGAGTAAAGAGAAGAAGCCCTACGTTCCTGCATACAGAGCCCTCCTCCTCGTCCTCATCATCTGACCTTTGCGCTGCCATAGACATGCTCGAGGCCCAGATCCAGTGCTCACTACCAAGTGCCAGCCTGGACCGAGTAGGGCCTGTGAGGAACGCCCTTCAGACGACTCCATCTCGCAGCTCGACGATCCCCTGCACCGTCCTTGCAATTCTGCATATTGTAATCTTCGGCAACATTCCAAACTCTTACACGGACTCGGTGAGTTCTGTTCGACGGACAGAATGAAGAAAACCAAGCGCACTCTGCCTTCTCTTCTCGATTCCATACGTGCAAATCCCGAATCGTTATTCGGGATCGATCTGAGTCTGTGCTTCGGTGGAAGGAGCTGGCTCCGGGTCCGACGCACCTCAGTATGTTTCTAAACTGTCCCGTAGTGACGCAGACGCAGCCGCAGACGCAGCTCGATGCTCGAACTGCAAACTGCAAACGATTTGACAGCACACGGGGGGAGCGATCGAGATAGAATTCAGGAGTTTCAAGTGAAACCATTTGAGAGATGTTGGATAAAATAGTCCTATTTGATCTTTTACGGTCTGATGAGAATGTTTTCGGTGCACGTTCTGCAGCAGAAGGAAGTGCGAGAAGTTCCCAGTTAGAGATGACTCTGCTGCTGAATAGTGAGTTCATCAGGCATTGGGGAGAAGTGTATAAATATTGAACTCGTATTTTAAGGTGTTGGCTATGTCCGGTGCGCAGGCTTCAGGTTATAAAGTTATAAAGTTTGTTCGCCGTCAGCACAGACTCCTTGTGCTGCCTGAGAGAATTGCACTGGCACGGTTTTATAATCAGCGATGGAACAATTTCAGTGACAGACAGACGCTGTTCCTGCCTATCTCGGAGTCTCAACAAAATATAGAAAGGATCATAGGGCCTGAGATCATATATATTCCTCAGACTTTTGCTTTGCTGCTTTGCATCATCGTACACTGGAACCCACACAGCGATCCATTCCACCTCGAGTAATCATGCCAAAGCGATGAGGCCATTGAGTCCTTTCGTGAGTTCAAATCCTCCGGCGACAACTCAGAGCACGCTGTTGCGTGGGCGAGCAAGCAAAAATAAGATATTGACGACGATATCGAAGCCTCCACCGCTCAGCTCAGCTCAGCTCAGGCTCGCGGTTCCAGAGCAGCATCGGCTCAGTACGTCACATCGCGTCGTCATACAGCCCTGTACCTCCATTCACCTACAGCGATTCAGATCAATCCTGATGATATCTGGACATGACTTCAGCATCCGAGTTTGCACTTGACCTGATGACGCCCTTCGCACTCCAAGTCCCAGTGTCCTCGACGACTCAACACATGACAACAATTCCACCGAGCCATCGTACCGTACCCGGAAAAGGCAGAGAGATATCTGACACTCCATGGGCGACCTTGGCGATACGTCGGGCGAGCTCAGTCTGCCTGCCAGGGTCATTCCACATGGAAATCCTGAACACGTTCTCTTCCCACGGTACTTCCCCTTTCAGAAGCATGGGCCTGATTTCTGTGTTCTTCATCTGAGACTTTCTTTAGACTGTGATCCTTCGGGATCGAATCCAGAAGTACAGGACTGTGACTTTATGTCAATTGAACCTCGACGTAGAAGCTATATGTGGACTGTAATATGTGGACTGTCCTGCTGTTGGCATGTTGAGAACGTGACCAATGTTCCTCGGTAAAAGCTTGGAGATGGCAGGTAGGCAGGCATCTTACAGCAGTTCGGCAACACGAGATTGAAGTGTATCGAAGACGTAAAGTAACACATGGTTGTAAGATTGTAACAGCAGAAGTTTTCATAAGTCCTTGACAGCGGAGGATGAAGGATCATCGGACTATCATTGTTTGTGACTCGGTTCGCGTTGATTGGAGCGATGATCATGACCAATTTACTTGCCGTGTATAGCGATTTAACCTTTAGGGCCCTTGAGTTTTTGGGATTATGGATGGTTCTGACTCATCAACAAGACCAGGCAGTGATGAAGGAACATACTCGAAAAGTACATGTTACAAATCAGATGGGAGATAGATGTCTGCGACAACATAAATGACTGACGGGCCGAAAAGTACGAGTGCACAAAAATGACAAGAGTACGCTAGGAAAGGAACAGAATACGTGCCTTCTAAATCAAGGTGTATATGAAACGTATCAGCCACACAAGTGAATCGACACATGGAGCACATAAGAAAGACAGGAGATAAGCAACTGTGAGTTCCACTCCGCTCATGTCAATGTACGAAGCAGGTTCTGTCATCAACATGCTCCTTTCTTTCATGTTGCCCAATAACGTAGAACAGCATCTGCTATCGACTCCGAGGTTAATATATTTGATACATGACCAATCTCACTTTTCAAATTGGTTCGCACTTGAACCTTTGTGACCTTCAAAGTCTTGTATAACCTTGCTCTACATTTTCTACGCTAAAGGAATAAAAACGATTTTCTAAAGGTTTGGATGGAATAATTGTTTTTTCCACTACCAGCAATCGAATATCATCCTCATCTACATTTCCGGCCGAGTAAATCGAAGAATTTGCTATATAGCTCGTGCAAACACCTTAACTCTCCATCAGGGATTGCAGTTCACAATCGTGATATTTGAAGTCACGGCTGAAGTTCCCAGGACTCAGTGCTTGCATAGAATCCCGAGGACTTCACATTGAGATTGTTGTGACAGGTAAAACCATGCCCAGGGCATCGCTCGACTGCTTCATCGCTGCGGAAAAATAGGCAGGAGTGAGATGAGCTTATAGTACGTTCGTGGAAGCTGAGGATGGATCCAAACAGAGAAATTTGCTGGTGAAGTGAATATTAGGAAGCTCGTAGAGAGTCTTTCGTACAGAGAACAAGCAATTCCAGCACTCTGCTCACCAGTGGCAGGAATCTGAAGAAGACATAGAGAAGGCAGACGACGAGATCAGCACATAATACAACACCCTAACAAAGCCTTGAGAAGAATTTTGAGGAGTTCTACACCGATTGCCACTGCTTGGAACACAAACATCTGAACTGACAGTGTATTTTGAAGCAGATTGAATGAGATTGAATGCAATCCAAATGTGCACATACTGTCAGGTGACCTTCTGCCTTCAACGGGAGGAGTCCGCCGAGATCACAAACAATGTTTAACCATATCATCCCAACCACAATCGAACCAAAGAGCAACGAGCTCGTGTGCTTAAGTCTTGGAACTGGTTCGCTCCGAACTTTTTTAACTTTTTTTTTTCTTCTCTCGTTTAAGAACGATGTCTGTCCATATATTCAAGTGAGTGCACCTACCAAGGTCTCATCCAGAGAAGTTTATAGTTTCAGATGCTTGTTATTAGTCCTGGTATTCTTCTTCATACTGAACGAACTCTGTTTATCTTATTTGTTATCTTAAAATCCATTGGAAAACGTATACATTGAATTTCCTTTCTTTGCTAGATAAACATGTAAGATCTAGCTTTTGTTGGTTCATACAGGTTTTGAAACATTTTAACAAATAATCAAGTGACGTGAAAATCATATTATGTGCAAAACATATTGAGCTCTAATAAGTCATTTAGATGCAAGTGATGTAATTGATAGTTTCAATATAAAATTTACTTCTTTTTTTTGTGGCATAAACTATAGGATTTTGGAAGTTTGGCATCTTTCTTTGTAAATGATAAAATCGAAATAATTTTTCATATTTGAACTTATTTTGATTTTATCAATGATAGAAATTTTTGAAAATTAAAAAACAAACAAACATTTTTTACACAACTTTGTAAATATTTGAGCAATTGATTTTGCAGAATATGATATTTTCTTTTATTGTTGATGCATTAAAGTTCAAATTGATATATTAATAAAAAATTACACATAAAATGATAAATATATAAAATATACATTAAAAATGATATTTTGTGCATTTTCAAAATATAATTTATAGAGAATTTTTTTTAATGACATGAAATTTGTTAATTTGTTTGAAACTGTACATATAGTACTCGAAATCAGATCAAATCATAATGACTATGATTTATGAACATTGTATTAAATGTAAGAATCAAATGAAAAATGAAAGTTGAAATTTGTTGTTCACTCTCATAAATAATATTCCATTTAAATTACATATTTTCATAGAAAAAAATAATAACACAGATTATTTAAAAAATTTGAAATATATATTTATCATAATGATTAGTTGAAATCTTTATTGAATAAGACTTTACATTATTGTATGTCTTCTTCACACTTCTAAGTTAAAACGATTAACATATTTGATCATACATAAAATGACTATGTCAAAATGTTATTTTGGAGGTAAGCAAATGCTTTTCATTACATGATTGTGTTTTTGAACATCTTAAATTATTTTTTTAATGATAAAATTAAAAAAAAACAATGAATAGATTTTTCGCTAAAAATTAGAATTAAAAAAATAAAATTTAGTAAAATTTGTGCAAAAATAAGTTATTTACTGAAAATTATAATATATTAATAAAAAAAATTTATGAGCTGAAAATATTGTTAACTTGTTACGGTCAAATCAAACAAAGTCTCATAATATTATGCTGAACTATTTTAAAAACATGAATAAAAAACAGTTTTGTATATATGATAGTGTTGTAATGGAATCCAATATACGTTTGATTAATGTGATAGAAAATTTTCATAATCAAGTACATTGTTTTGTTTTTTTAAGGTAGCGACTAGTTATATCACAATTTATGCTAATTATAACTCACCTTGCGTCTAAGTTTAATTATGCTTGATTCAATCCGTAAGGTTACACTATGGTTAACATAGCGTCCAATGCTTCATGTGAAAGCTTTGACGGTGGACTGAGTGTGTTCAGTTTGAAATGAAACCACTTTCACCAATCACAGACCTCACTTCTCAAGCAATTTTTGTAAGTTGAGCTATAATTAGCATAAACTGAGCTATAATTAACCATTCTCTTCTTAAATTATTTATTTATAATTATTTTACTTGTTATATAAATTTTATTTTCCCACATCAATCAAATGCAAGGACGTGAATATAAATTATAATATATATATATATATATATATATACATATATGTACAAATATATAAATAAATACATATAAAGAATAATAAATTTAAAAAATATAATTATATTTATACTTAGTTGGATGTATTATCTTTCAAATAACTTCATATTATATATATATATATAAAGTAAATTTTTTATTAGTAGTAAATTTTTTTTCCAGGTAAAAATGTAGATTAGATGATGATGAAAGAATTCTAATATTATCTATTGAAAAAATCTAATGAAAAATTTATTTCTGAATTTATGCTTAATCTATTTACCATTTACCTTAATTTTAAAGGTTTATTATAAATTTCTACATAGATGAGATTGAGTATTCAATTAGAATTTGTGCTTTTACAGATTTTTTGATATTATATATCCACATAAAAAATAAAGAAAATCAAATGAAATGATCTTAAATTTATAATGAGTTTTTTTCTGCAACCAAAATTGAAATGAAAATTTTTACTCCTTCAAATTTTTTTTTAAATCAGGAATTTAGTTCTTACTTTCTATCAATAGCTGCTTCCAAATTTAACAAGACTATATGTAGTTTTTTAAAACTGTCATGATTTGACAAAAACTTTATCATTGAAAAATAAAAAAATTGTAGATTAAAAATATAACAGGTTTTATTGAAATGTTTATATAGTATTACAAATCAAATCATTATTATTATATATTTTAAGTTAACTCATGTTTTACTGATTTTTATCTTACTTCGCTGAGGTGAATGACGACTGTCTTGTATTGACTTTGTAAATTGTAATCGTGAATGTTGATATTAACCATCAAATAAAATTTTAACACGATGCTAAATTTTAATCGAATATTATTCAAATAATGCTAAAATGATCATGAATATCAATTTTTGAGTTTCATGTATTACAATTATTAAATTTTATCTTCTGTATTATCGTTATTTAGCAAAAAGTATATAACATTAATATTAGCATAAATTTAAACAAACATGATTTTGTTAGATTTTTTTATTTTTTGGATTCATAGATACTTGCATTTGCATGCAAATTCCGATTATTTTTCAATTTTTTATTGAAGATCTCAATTTGTTATCTATCATATTTTAGTTTATACCTACATATATCTACATTTAAATTTTGAATAAAATTTTTTTGGATGTTTCATGGATATTTCATAACTTTTCACGTAAAAAATGGTATTTTGATATAACGAAGTGAAATTTTAGAAAATTACTAACAATACTTCTTGCGTGGAAATTCCTATTTAAAAAGAAAAGAAACCAAGAAAGGAACCACCACGGCGAATTCTCAAACATTAAGATTTTCAGTAGTCAGATAGAAAATGAACATAGTGTTAATGGTATCTTTGAACTCATAGAACTATGACGATTATAAATGAACAGTAGCCTGCATGTAATAAATAGGAAAATACGCATGTAAAGTCTGAATCTGAAATGCTTACATAGAGTGCTTCGAAAATCAAGGGGCAATGTTGGACCCGACGACTACAGGTAAGTATGTGATGATAGAGTGGTGAATCGAAAATGGCATAATCATTTCAGATGGTCCCATCTGTTGCCAAGGAATTATTGCCTGTCTTAGACGAGGAAGCCAATAATGCGAGATCAAAACGAAACGAGGTATAAAGCACAGATATGATAGTACAGTGAATAGTAGAGCCACCTGTACGATTACGATTTCCGGAGGGAATGTGTTTCTGATGATGCGTACCAAATCATGCAATCGGAGAGATTGTGTAATGCCAATCAGTCATTGAACGTCCGTGCAGAACCAGGGTTCCTACGAAATCAAGAAGATAGCGAGCTCCCTCGACTGATGGAGAAGATGATGATCGAGCTATAGAGCAAATCATCAGCCGGAGACACAAGGCCGCGAAGGCTACGAGACAAGAAGCAAGCAGAGCAGAGAGTAGGTGCAAATCATGCGAAGAGAAGAACGTAATCGACGTGCGCGCCCAGCCAGGCATGAATAACATGAACGCCGATGCAAGGACGACGACGACGACGACGACGGCGGCCAAGGCCAACGACGAAGGATCGAACGGCACTCATATGGCGAGTACGCGCGCGAGTCGACCATTTTAGGGGTTACATAAGACGTACGACCCGTCAATCCCCCCACCCGCTCTTAACGGCCACACTACCCGCAGAATCTTAACGTCTCTAACCCTCCCCCCCTCCCCTCCCTGTCGGGACTGCTGCTGCAGCAACATCGTCGTCGTCAGATTTCGTCTCGTTGATCGGCAGCAGCAGCTCCGGCAGCGCCGGCCGCAGAGAGACTGAGACTGAGACTGTGGAGGAGTGTCGGAGCGAGCAATGTCATGGCTCACGTCTCCTACGCCCGCGGTCTGAACTCTGAACTCTGAACTCTGAGATCTGAGCTCTGAGCTCTGAGCTCTGGGCTAGAACTCTGGACTGAGGACTGTACCTAGTGAATCGCGAGTGTGTAAGAGCGTGTGCGTGTGCGCATGCTCGTGTTAAAGAGTTCAGCAGCTCAGCTCAGCTCAGCTGGCGGCAGAATTGTGATGTCTGAGGGTGGGAGGGAGGGGAGGGAGGTCGAACCAGAGAGGACATGATCGCAAGTGCGAAGAAAAGTGGAGTGGAGTGGAGAGGAGTGGAGCAGGGGCAGGGGCAGGGGCAGAGCGCCGCAAAGAGGAGAGATGGATCGTACCGACAGCCGGGTGGTGGTGTTGCACATGCTGCAGCGCAGCCTCAGCTGCTGAGGCAGTCAGTCGGAGTCCGGGATTTCTCGGCTCGGCTCGGAAAGGGCCGCGTGACGGTGGCGGAGATGAGATGAGATCGAGCATCGTACGCAACCCTGAAGAATTTTGATCCGCCGTGGAGTGGAGTGGAGTGGAGCATGACGCAGCTCTTGAATCGCCCTCGAACGCAGCCCACTCGCTGATAGGAATTGAACCCCAGAGCCATAGATAGAGCAGGAGAGCGATCGGCTGTGACGAGCAAATATTTAACTGCAAAGCAATCCAGTCAACCGACATTCCCACGAGTTGTGCTCTCCAGGCCCCGCATTGCATCATGCTGCATCCTCCCCCTGCCTCTCTGTCTCTGTCTCCCTCTCTCCCTGTCTCTGTCTCTCTGTAAGACATCGACATTGTGAACATGGTCGTGCGTCTGTCCGGCTGCTGCGATTGACCACGAGAAGCAAGGGTAGGAAAGGGAAGGCGAGGCAAGGCAGGGCAAGGAAATCGGAGGGAAGAAATGCAGCGTGACTGAGTCGGTCGAAGTGCGCGGGGACAGTGCTGGCGGCCATTTCCCTGGAGCGATTTCGGCGGCGAGTCTGCGACGCGTGACGTAGTACCGCTCTGCTTCGTGGCCTGTGGAAGCAAGAGAGAAGAAGGTCGGGCAGCTAATCTGCAACGACGCCAGCAGTTGGAGCGAGCCTGCCTGCCTTTCATTCTCCGTGCCATTGCTCTGTCCGCTGAGGTTGTTGTGCTGGCCTGCGGTATTCCGGAAACAGACCAGAAATTCTTGCAGCTTTGACCGCCCTACATTGCCTCAATTTGCACTGCGCTTTTAAGCGCTCCGCCTCCGACTGCGACACGAATGAATCTGACTCTGATCTGCCTCTCTCCCCTCTCTTAATCACCTCCCTCCTCCCGTCCTCTTCATCATCATCTTCTTCTTTCTTCTTCTTCTACACGAAACCTCGAGGTTTGGGGTTTGGGTCATAATGGCTTCCACATGATTCCGAGCTCAATCGGCGTGGGCATTACATTACAACCGCGTGCGTCGACTCCGCATCGTCTCACTCGAAGCTTAAGAATCCACCGATGGCGAGAATTGTCGCGCTCACGAGCGTCGTCGTGCTCACGCTGTGGTGGTGCGTGCTTGTGGCGGAGGCGGTGGAAGAAGGATACCAAGAGTTTCGCGTTTCGCGAGGCCAGCAGCAGAAGCCTCGGAGTGGGCACCTGTACCCGTGGGAGCAATCGGTCGAGTGGAGCAAGAGCCTGCCGCAAGGCGGCGTGGGCCTGAAGCTCGTGCACCGCGACGAGTGGGACTCGCCTCTCATCCGGCCCCGAAGCGCCAGCAGCATTGGCAGCAATCGCCTGCAGCGCGACAGAGCGCGAGTGCAAGCGCTGAACCAAAGGGTGGCAATCCCCTCGTCGGGCGGGGGCACGCCGGGGCCGCCATTGAGAAGCCCCATCATCTCAGGCCTGGCCGAAGGATCGGGCGAGTACTTCACCCGAATCTCGTTCGGCTCGCCGTCGTCCGACGTGCTCGTGACCATCGACACCGGCAGCGACTTGCTGTGGATCCAATGCCACCCGTGCGACAAATGCTATGTCCAGGTGGGGCCGATCTTCAACCCGGGCGAGTCGCACTCCTACGATCCCATCCACTGCTACTCGGAGGCGTGCGAGACTCTGGCGCACAGCAAGTGCTCGGGCGTCACCTGCCAGTACGATGTGAGCTATGGCGATGGGTCCTTCACCACGGGCGAGTTCGCGCGCGAGACCCTGACGCTCAACAACACCAAGAGCAAGCCCTTCATGATCCACGATTTCTACTTCGGCTGCGGCCACGACAACGAGGGCTTGTTCATCGCCTCGGCCGGCCTGCTGGGCCTCGGCCGAGGCCCTCTGTCGTTTCCCTCGCAGCTGTCCCGAGTCCTGAGCCCGCGATTCTCCTACTGCCTCACGGATCGCTTCGCGCTCGACGGCCCCGAGCCCAGCGACAGCTTCCTCTACTTCGGCGAGCCCGAGACGAGCCACATGAAATTCACGCCATTGCTGCACAATCCCGCAGCTCCCACCTTCTACTACGTGCAATTGACGGGCATCAGCGTGGCCCGGCAGCAGCTGCAGATTCCGACCTCGGAATTCGAGATGGACTCGGCGGGGCGAGGAGGCGTGATTCTCGACACGGGCACGTCCGTGTCGAGGCTGCCGACGGTGGCGTACAAGGCCATGCGCGACGAGTTCCGCGAGAAGCTGCCGAATCTGCAGCTGGTCGATGTCCCGGGGCAGGATTTGTTCGACACGTGCTTCCGGATCGACGAGGACCAGACCGTGCCGACCATCACGCTGCACTTCTCCAACGACGTCGACATGGTTCTGCCCGCGGACAATGTGCTCATCCCCGTGGACGAAACGGGCGAGCTCTTCTGCCTCGCCTTCGCGGGCTCCGATGGCCGCGCCAACCTGTCCATCATCGGCAATGTGCAGCAGCAGGGCTTCCGCATCGAATTCGATCTGTCGGCCAAGGCCCGCGTCGGCTTCACGAGAGTGGATTGTTCCCCGAATTGAAGCCTCGACGTCGGACACGACGAAGGCACACGGACAGTAGCCAGACAGGCTGGCTGGCTGGCAGGCTCAGATGCTGACAGGCTTGCTATCGTCGCCGATCGGCATCGATTGCTCGATCGGCCGATCGACGGATGGATCGATGGAGAGATGGCCAGCCCGCAGCCATGAGATCGATCTGAGAGGTGTGCTGGAAACTCTGTTTCTGAAAGCTGCTGCAGGCAGGACGGTTGGGCTTCACTGGTACTCTAGAGTATGTAGTAGGTAGGCGAGGAACAGAGTGAGTGAGTGAGTGAGGTTAGAATTCCATTGAATAAGATATGCATTTAGGTTTCTCCAGAGATTGTGGGCAGATCAAGATGATGATCGAAACCAGGAGCTGTGTCTTCCAATGGCTCGCAAGCAAGCAGTGGGGGGCACGCAAGCAGCAACCATGTTTGTTGTTGCTCGAGACTGACGTCAATATTTGTTGCCACCGGGACAGCAAGAATCAGACACGGATTATGGACGTGACCGCCAATGAATCTAATGAATGTGTCCTTCTGAATATCATTTCCTTTTTCACTTCACTCTCGCAACGACCCTGCCCAGTCACAAGCGAGCCACGAGAGTGTCTCTCTCCCTCTCGCTATGCTTTTACTGCTTGCAGCACGCTCATTATATCCTCAGACCTTTTGAAGCAGACACTTCCCTTTTTAATAAATACGTGAAATGGTGAAGAGAAAATGCACCTCAATTTCGTATCATAGGATATTAAATATTTGAATCTTCTGAAACGCTCAAAAGTATGCTGGCGGGATCTGTGACCCTCTTCAAGGCTTGCCTTGCCGGAACAGCACGTGGAAACAAACTCACGGTGCTGTACAGTACAGTACAAGGAGGGAAGTGTGATCGTGGATGTGAGTCCACAGAAGACAAGATGTTAATACTAATGGTGCTGAAATCGCCGTCGTGTTTTCGTATTGTCAAGCAATCCTCGAGTGGAAATTTGGGTGAGCGTGGTAGTGGTTCCTGTCATGAGCAAAGCTGAAGATGAGGACACTTGCAATCGGAATCGCACAGCGAGTAGTAAGCACACAAGTCCACGAGATCAAAGGAGGGGACAATGACAATGAAGAGAGACACGAGGGAGACAAAGGAGGACAAATCTAATACAATGCCTCACCTGTCTTTGTAGGTGTCGTAGTTTTCAGCTGCGGTACGCAAATGCAGTGTAGAATCTTTCGAATGTTGCCTCCTATTGGCTCGAGCTTATACACCGAGCCAAACAAAATTCCCAAGCCTAGAGGTAGCTGAAAAGTGTACGCTGCATGTGACCCCAAATTAGAAACAAGAGGTAGCTGATGGTGCGAAGGAAAGCCTGCTCGCACCAACTGAGATTTGTTTGTCTGCATCACGCAGGTCATTGTAAAATATCATATCACAGCAGTTGAGCTGGTGGTGTTCGCAGCTTGATGCTCCTGCCTCTCAGCAAGTTATTCCTTTTCTCCATAACTAGAGGCTCATCTGCACTTGTTCAATTGCCTTCATGTCTTATCCTACTACCTTTTCATCTGCGAATGCATTCAGCACGGGAGATCCAAAGCTCAGAGCATCTCGCCTCATCTCCTCCCGAATGACATCGAGGTAAACTAATCAACTTTTGTATTTACTGTATTTCCTTCCACTATGATTGAGAGTAGGAGCTGAGCTGAGCTGAGCAAGCCCACGGTTCAAATCGCTCGACAGCGCGAGCGTAAAAAGTCTCACCTGTGGATGGTTTGTGCCAAGGCCAGAGGTTCACAAACATCATCAGAAAGGTTTCTCCCAAGCCATGACGAGCATCTTCACTGCAAGAGCATCCATCGCCCTCACAAAAGTTGGCTAGCTGCAATGTTCGAGCTTATCGGCCCTCCGGCTCAGTGAGTGGGTAAGCCCCATGCGAGCCAGGCGGTGAATGGTTTGACGTGCAGCAGCATGGGCTAGGGCCGAGTGCGTTGTGCTCAAGATGGCTCAAAGTAAGAAAAGCAAGTAACGCCAACCCATCCAAACTCCACGGGCTCACCATCACCAAAATGCAGTGTCTCCAAATGGAATTCTTATTCTATGATTTTCACCCGAAAAGTGCAGAGGAGAACAATCCAAATCCGTATGATTTTACAGTTCACCTAATAACGATAGGCATTGCGTCTAGGGCTAATCCATGCAATGTAGAAATACATTTCTTTAAGGAGCTAAAGTGATATTGTTAACGAAATATTGCGTTCTGAATAACGGGTTTTTCTAAAAAAGGTGGGCATGGTGTAATTTGTTGAAAACTGTTTTTCAGAGGATAGTTTGGTAATTGTTGATTATGTTGCTATTTCGGGTTCATATGCAGTACCATCTGGATGCTCTGAGGTGACAGAGAGCCAATGCACGTTATCCATGCCCAGTTAACGACAATGTTTAATGTTTAAAGTGTAACAGTCACTACATGACTAAGGTGTGATGAGTAAGTCTTGCTATCCAAATAAGTTTGAAGCAAGAGTGTAAGGTGTGCAGTTCGATAAAATTTCATACTGTATTATTTCGGATGAAGATGTGACATGTTACAGATAATGGAATAAAAAAATATGTAATGAATTTAAGATATTGATAAGCGCAATCAATTGACATTGATATATACCATCAAATTCATTACCTTTAAGACTCGAGCTTTTATAATGAAACTTATAAAAGGATTTAATGAAATTGCAAAATAGAGCCACAATCACGACTTTAAATTTGATGAGTAACATTTCTGAATAGTATTCATATTATATATACGGCTCTTTGAAGTATTAAGAAAATCTGGTTAATAGTTAATCTGTTGAAAAATTCTACAACAATGTCTTATATATAGAATTAAAAAAAAGGGACTGTCATTATTCAGATCATTACGTCGTTTGTCAATTCTCAACGAATCAGTATCTTCAAGAGAAACAGGTTTGCCACTCCAAAGTGCTGATTGCAGCAATCTATGAAAGAGCATCTAGAAGTTAAAATCAAATGATTATATATTGCATGAAGTATGATATTTTTAGCTGAAAAAGTCTCAACAAATATTATTTGCATGACTAACATAGTGATTGCATTCATGATTTGAAATAAATATGTGTCTGACCTATCTTATATATGTGATATCTGATATAAAATTCTCAAATTTCAAAAGATTGTGATGATCAGTTGATTATAACATTCATACTAAAGTATAACATATTTTCCGTATTTTATTCTTTTCTATAGAATTACAAATGCTTTGTTTCTAGGCTAAGCATTTTGTAATCTTATTTCAATATTTATATTCATTCCAATTAAAATCTTCAACAACATGTGAACAACTCAGCCTAGAGCCTAGTTATATGAACCCCTTGAGGTGAGAAGTACTCTATATATACCTGAATATATATAGCATACATTAAGAAGGAATATTTCTGATTTTATTTCTTATACTTCATGCTTTTATATATACAATGATCTATGACACAATTAACCATTATTTGTATTTCTGCGTCTTTCTTGATCAGTATTTATGGAAAGCATCATGGAAGTATTTGCTAATATCATGGAACCAAGTTCAAGGATTTGATTTGTCATGAGGGTAGTAAAATTTTCTACAAATGTTGATTCAGTAGTAAAGTGTTATTTTCTAGTTTTAAAAAAGAAAATTTATTACAATAAATTTTTATAAAATTTTTAATCCATTAACGGAGAGAAACTGAAGAATTCAGGAATTGAGTATATTCCAAAACTTACAAGTGATTTCTTAGAAAGTAATATAAGAATATAGAGTAAAAATTAATTAAAATCAGTTAAATATATTACAATGGGGAAAAATTATTTAGGAATTTTCAAAAACATATCTGCAAATATTATGACTATCAGATGAGTATGGTAATCATGTCATTCGAAAAATTGAATATTTTCAAACCATCGAAAAATAAAATTAAGCTTTCAATCCATAAATTTATTTTTATAAAAATGTTTCCACATCCATTTGATCATCTCAGTTTTTTATTAATTAACTCAATGATACAATCATACAACATATAATTACAAATCTAAAAAAAGTAAAATTATGCAAATGCATTGTTATGCAATGTAAGATGCCAGATTAATCTTGAACGTTTGAAATTTCTAAATTCGTAGTAAAATTTTTCGAAAAGAATTCAACTTTGTACAGTCGTATCTATCTATCGTATAATAAAAAATAACCAGTATTTGACAAAATCAAATAGATTTCGTTTAGAAAAAATTTGAAAGTTTTATACAAATTTCAATTATTTTTATTCACATATCTAGAATTTAGATTTATTACAAGATTGAATTGTTTTATCAAATCACAAAAAAACAATAACGCACCGCACACATGGTTTATCATTATGGGCTACCTCCAGGGATGATCTCACACTGTATTGCAAAAAACACAGAGTTCATGTCACGAGAACTTTCGAGAGCTCCTGTATATAATGGCAGTTATTTTATGGTATATAGAGGTTTAGGATTTAACTAAACCTAAACCCTAATCTAGCTAACCTGTATTATCTTATAACATATATGAAATGTATCTTTACATACAGTTTACTCTTAAATTTTCTTATTACATTCAATTATATAATAACTGAAATCTTGAAAAAATCTAAATGCATTCAAATTTTTAATATGAATTCTTCGGGTGAAATTTATTCTTATAACATTATATGCGTAGATATTAGATTATAGGTTTTATATATATTTATATATCAGATTTTTTTCTTTCATAAGAATTTTATTAATTGATATGATGAATACTATTTGGTCTTATGACTTATTTTGATATTTTGCATTTTCAAAAAGGATATGAACGTAATAAGTGTACCATGTATTTGTTTGGGTTAATTGTAGGCTATGTTTCCGAAAGACCCAATTTGGAATTTTACTAAATTTAGTTCAGTAAAACTAAGAGCGGCGAGACTTAGCTCGTCCCTTGAACATTATCTCAAAGTTTCTAGCAGTAAAAATCTCATGTTCCCGGGGGTGCAATTGGAGGTGAACCATGTACTTATTGCGTTGAATCTGCATGTCTATGATGTTTGCTGATTTCTGACCAACAGTACCCAATTTTTTTTAAAAAAACTCCGAAATTGTAGCCAACTTTTAAAAAGAGAGAAGTATGATTGATTGATCCAATTTTTTTCAGAAAAATATTTATTTTTTGAAATTTAAAAAACCAATTTTCTTGACACATGTTTTCTATTCTAAATATTTTTTTAATAGATTTTTTTACTTTTCTGTTGTGTTTTCATACACTATTTTAACATTCAGAAATCGATTTTTCTCACATGGAGTTCACTGATATTTGCGGGAGATCCATCAGGTTTGCGGTCACTTCTATTGGCTTGCTTTGGTGATGAAATCCAAAGCTACCAGCCCTCCGGGCCTTACGCAATTCTCCTTTTTTTTCTTCCCAGAAACCAACAGCTCCAATCTTTCCCTTTTGCCAAAAACGAAGCTGCTCTCGTAGCCGATTTTCCGTTTGGTATTATATTATGAACCCCCTACTTGTTAGCTAAATGTGAGGTAATAGCGAGTTAAAAAAAAGTGTCAAGAATCATGGGTGGAGTTGTAAAAAATTTACAACATCCTTGCCGTGTTTGAAAAAATTTAGTTAGTTGAACATACGTAATTGAATATTTATTCCAATTCTATTTGACCTGTCATATGCATTTGTGTTATGTCCTCTAACTCTAGATTTTCAAATATTTGAAGTTATTTTTTTAAGTGTTTACAGGGTTTCAAAATTTACATCTTAAAAATCAAGCCCTTATTATTTTCGTAAATTTATTGAAATTAAATTTCAGAATATTTTATTTAATTTAATTTTAATAGAAAATATTTAATTAAATAATTATAATAGGGAAAAAGTTTTAATCATTTTTTATACATAAGAATATCATGCTTATTTTAAAATTTTAAAATGATATCATGGATAACAAATTTGAATGTGAAGCATACATGTGGACTTGAAGTTTTGTTGGATGACAAAATCTTTAATGTATTAGCAAGATAAAAGTCAAGCATGGTAAATTTTTTTTCAAATTATGCTATAGTTTTCATCAAATTAATAGGATTAGAATCCACACTAACTTATCTTATGAACTAAATTTCAGAAAATTAATTGTTCCTACAGCATTAAAATTGACATGAAAAGATTGTGGGTAATAAAGATTGTGTTGTAGAAGATGAGATATATTACAGACGAATTTGATTTATTTGTATGACAAGCGTTAAAATTTGAAATTTTGGAAGGTTCAAATCTATTTGAAAGAAAAAAAATTGATACATAAGTGATCATTTTTTACCAGACGGCTAGAATATTGCTAATACAATTATTGAATATACATTTGGATGGGGGTGTTGGGTGTTTAGAGCGTTCGTTACGTTTATCACCTAAGATTTTCGGATATAGGGTATTGGGTACATCCTCAATAGAATGACCTGGAGGTCCAACGCTCGAGGATGCGAGCATAATCAAATGAGTATTTTCTTGGTGTGAAGGCTTAAAGCTTGCCATCTTTGAATTCACAGTCTATTACCTCCTTCTAAACGTCCATATCAAGATGAAACGAAGGAGTACTTGAATAATTCCATTACCATATCAGATGTAAAATCAGAGTTGGATATCTTCCATGTTCACAAAACATCAATTGTTTGCACTAACAATCATTGGATACCCAAATCTCGGATGATGTGCACGTGATCAAGTGAGTTATTCTTCATGAAGTGTGTAAATATTTGTAAGTCTTTGGGTTAATTTCTACTATCCACTTTCCTTACTCCATATCAGAAAAACACAACGGATACTTCAGCACTGTCGAATGTCAATGTACTGCTGATCATCGCACTATTTTCAGAATGTCGGTCGTCAACAACGAGGACCAAGTTAAGAGTAAGAACGAAATCATACCGCGCTCGTGCGCGCTATGATTCAAACCTTCACTTGGTTTGTTCATTATACTTTTCTTTGTTCGTGGACTGATTTCCTGGTGTAAGATAAGATCTTATAATTATGAATCAGATGGACAACGAGGTTGAGATTATGTTCACGATAAACGTCTAACTTGGCCGAACTAACGAGTGTATGATGATGTCCATATGGAAACCAAGAGGTATGGAAACAAACGATGGGAACACTCGGTAGATATACTCCAACGATACAAAGAATTAATCAAGAGGCACAGGGTCGATAGAAATGGAAGCACAGGGAGCGAAAAAATTGAATGTGGATGGCCGGTGAGGAAGAGCAGTCTGATTCCAACCACGTGTTTAGAGTGCTCTGGAAGCTCGACCGAAATGGAAGTGGCACTAAAAATCTGGACAAACGCTTTCCAAAGGCGGACGGAAAGGAGCAAGATTCCTTAAAGTGCAAACGTATGAATACGAGCGCTGGCTGGCCATGACAACGATTCGGTGACGAGCTCAGTGGAACACGGAGACTGGGCTGCAAGGGATGTTGGAAGGCACGCACCAATCAGAGTTGCAGAGCTCGCAATAAAAGCGCTTATATTTAGCAGCACTCGGCCTTCGAGCAATTTTTTGCGTGGATGGCAGAAGTTCAGCGAGCTCGGGTCTGTGTCGAAGGAAATCAACGTGGCGGCTGCCAATTGCGTCACGTGAATCTGAGGCTTTCGACGTGTGGCGCTGTGCATCCGAAGACGACGACGAGGACGACGATGGCAACTGAGAAAACAGGGAGACCGGCCTTGCTGCGCTTGTTGGCAATTGCGGTGCGAATCGCGGCCGTCCGCCGTCGGATCGAAGTACGTAGAGGGGCTTACCTGGTACAGTAGAGTAGAGTACGGTGCCGTATGAACGAGGCGGCCGGTGCCCCCCGGCTGCCGCACAAGCCCCGAATGCCGTGCTGACGCGGATGCCGCGCATTGGCGGCTGCAATGGTGGCAGTCGAGGATCCGCCGAAGTGGCAACTGACTTGGGGTTGGTGTGCTAGTCGGACGGACGGGGGCCGGTTGGGGCTGGGGGTGGGGGAAGAGGGAGGAACTCTCGAGGCCCCGGGAATGATGAAGGAAAGGAGCGGTCCGCGCGACCTCGAGGACAAGTCTTTTACCCGGGGACCAAATAAGCTTTACTTGCATGGCACTGCACGGTTCCTGTGCAGCTCCCAAGTTTAGCAGTCGGTTCTTCTATAGCCCCTTCGTGCACCCACGACATAAGAACCTCTCGCTGCTTTTCCCACTGCCCGCTAGTTTAGCGGGGGACCGCGTAATGTAGCCAAAACATGGGAACGCCCCCCCACCATCCAGCCCCCATCCAGCCCCCACGAGGGATCATACCAAAACGGTAACATGGGGCTAAAGGGCTGGCCCCAATAGCATCACGAGGGGAAATACTCTGATATGTCCGATCTGATATTAGCGCTGCTGAGAATCCCCTGGAAGCAGCATGCTCTCGTGGATGAGGATGTTTGATCGAGTGACTAACACTGCCAAAAAAGAGTACAATCTGCTATCAACTCTTCATATCAGGTACCTTGACGTACAGATATTTTACCTTTGAATTCTTCTAGAAGCATCATCGAGTGTACTCGGCCACCACCTTCGCAGATGATGAAAGTGAAGTTCTCTCGGAGGAACTGACGGAATCTTCTCGGCGTTCTGTCGGCAGGCAACATGTTTGATGGAGAAAATGATTATGGCTAGGAGGTTGTTTCATATCCATTACTTCAACACTTTAACACGGAGATCCAAATCAGTCAAATAATATTTTGTCCTGAAAATTACATCACGACCCACATTCTCGCCAGATTTTCACGTTGACACTCGGAGGAGGAATTTGGTGACCATGGGATGTACGTTTTGCAGCGAGCGTCCAGTTGTCGGGAGTACAGCAAGTCGATCTGCCGGACAAAACCCGTCTACTCTTCGGTGACTCCTCCATGCAAATTGCATGGTGAGGGCTGGAGGAAACTGGGGGCCCTTGCTGGCCAGGTACACAGGATTTCCAAATGCCGAGCTCGCACAGCTGCAGTGGAAGGAAGAGGGCTGGACTTCGGAATTCGATCTGCAGCAGCACTGTGGAAGCGAAGGCTGCTCCGCATCGATCAGGCCAAACATGAAGAAGAAGAAGAAGAGCGCTGACCATGAGTGGCCAGGATATACGGGCTGGATTCTCGACCCCGAAACCTGACGCCAACAGAAGACGCTAAAACCCGGACAAAGCAAATCGAGCATGTAGCGGCAGATCGGAAGAGGAGCCCCTCGATAGAGTGAGCGAGAGGGACCGAGAGAGCGAGAGAGCGAGTGGTCAGAGACGCAGCGAGTCAATGCAGCGGACTGCAGTCAGTCAGTCAGTCAGCAAGGGAAAGCCCAACCGACCAGAAGAGAGGCGAAGGAAGGAAGGAAGGAAGGAAGGGAGGGAGGCAGGAAGGAGGAACCGAAAAGGAATGTCAGCAAGTGGAGGGCATCGCGTTAATGGTGGGGCAGAAGGGCATCGGGAGGTGGAGAAGCTCGCAGAGAGCGGCAACGATTTGCTGTGTCGTCGTCGCAGGCGCTGGTGACTTCACTGCCACCTCCCGCTCAGTCCTCCCTCCGTCCAGCGGTGCACAATAGGCCCCGCCCCGCCCCGCGTAGACGACGCGCGCTTGCTGCTGTACGTACGTACTACGCCCAGCCCCCAGCCCCCAGCCCCAAGCCCCAAGCCCTCTCTCTCCCCCTGCTCCTGCCCCTGCACCTGCCCCTGCCCCCGTGCCCGCTGCCCAGCCAGCCGGCAGTCCGGGGGGGCTGCGGCGTCCGATGGCTCGTAAGCACCGGAGGCAGGGGGGCAAGAGGGGGATGGCTTTCGGTGGAGTTTCGGTTCGAAGGAATCTTGGGGCGACGGATGGACGGGAGGCGAGGGGCGAGGGGCGAGGGGAGAGCCGAGGAATCATGGGGCCCACGGGGAACGGCGACATATCTAGAAAAGTCCTCGATCCCATCCCCCGCTCACACTCCTCACTCACTCACTCACTCACTTTCTTCGTCTTTCCCGTCCCTCTTGTGCATGTGCAAAACGATGTGATTCATTTCTCCTCCTCTCTGACCCTACCAAACTCGCGTCTCCTGGGGTCCGCGAAATCAGCGCTCGAGGATCTCCCTCTCCATCTCTTTCTCTCGCTCGCTCGGCCTCGGCCTTTTTGGTAGATTTTTACGCCAATTGCGCGTCGTAGTCTGTATCTCGCTGCATCGGCATATATGTCCGCGCGGCCCGCGCTCGCCGCCAGTCGCAGAGCCAGCAGTAGTCCTCCTGTCGTGCGGCGATTTCAGGCCGAGGGTCCGATTCTCTCTCTCGGTCGCTCATCTCTCTCAGTAATTGCCTCTTCTTCTGCTTGCTCGGTTGCTCGTCTCTTCTCGAGCTCGATCGATTGATCGCCTGAGCAGCAGAGATGTTGCTGCGCAGCGCCTCCACGGGAGTGCTGACATCGCTGGTGACAGTGGGCTCGGCCAATGTCGAGAGCGTGGTGGACGTGCACGCCGATCACTTCTCGCCCGTCGCGAGGACGAGTGTTCCGTCCACGCCGACGCATGCGCTCTCGAGCGCGCAGCAGCAGCATAATGCGGACGATGCGCGGTCCGTGGAGGGAGGCGGGGATTGGGAGTTCGACGGCGGAGCGAATGTGCCGTGGCCGAGGTTCAGGAAAGTGCAGTCCGAGAGCGATTTGCAATCGCTGTGTCGAGCGTCGTCCACCTCGTCCTCGTGCTTCGCGGCGGCCGAGTCTCTGCTGACGGCCGCCCCCGAGGCCGAGGTCGCGCCCGAGGCGCACCACAGCAGCGGCATCAGGAAGTCGTGGGGTCGACGATCCAAGCCCGGGCTGAGGCGCGGCTGCTCGCTCACGGTGATCCCGAGCTCGCGGCATATGGAGCTCGACGAATCCATCGCCGAGCTCGCCGAAAGCCTCACGCCTCTCTCGACCGCGGCCGACTCCGACGAGTTCGAGGAATCGCCGCGCTCCGTCAACCCCAGCACCAACTCCTTCCGCCGGCGCAGCATGGATCAGTACCCGCAGAAGCTCTACGAGCGCGAGCGCGAGCGCGAGCTCGATGCGCCCAAGTACTCCCCCATCCCCAAGAGCCGATTCGAGTCGACCTGGGAAGACGCTTACGACGAGAAGGATTACGTCGTGTCCAGCCTCTCGGCCGAGTTCGCTTCCTTCTCGGGCCGGATCGAGCGCGAGGCGCAAGGCGGCGGCGCTGCTGCTGCGGCCAGCATGGCCGTGGCCCTCGAGGCTTCCAAGGTCGGCGTCATGTTCGGTTCCCAGAGGAGCTCGTCGGCCGCCGCGCAGTCGTGCGGCCCAATGTACGTCACGGACTTAGGATTCGGCAGCGGCGGCAGCGGTGGCGCTCACAGGATATCAGGAGGGGGCAGCGAAGGCGGAGCCGGCGACACGAATGCCGCCGAAGCCCACTACCGCAAAATGCTGGAAGCGGACCCGAGCAATGCCCTTCTGCTCCGGAACTACGCCAAGTTCCTGCACGAGGTAATTATTTCCTTTCCCCTCTCGTCTCAGTTCCAGTGCAATCGATCTGTTCCCCGCGAAATTCGATCCCAGTTTTCGTGTTTTAGTATTCAGCCCTGAAGCAGTGGGATGGGGATGGGTATGTGGATTCGGAGTGCCTTTTCGTGTAGGGTTGTGAAGGCTAGCTCGAATTTGATGTACTGGTCGCAGAGGATGAGTTGATTTCTCGGAGGTAGAATGGAAATTTGTGGCTGGCGAGTTTCTGACGACCTTACGAGATGCACTGTATCGAGAATCGGCGAGGACTGTATTTTGAGACGTTCTGAGATGGAGATGTATAGAAGTCACTCATTCCGGGTTCTCGTGACCCTCGTTCTCCCTTTCGAGTATTATAATCAATATTGTTAAGGATCGTGCACGATGAAAAGCAAGTGGCCCACGACGATAATGGATCTTAAGGGTCCCACCTTCAGAAAGAAAAAGTGTTTCTTTCTTTCCATCTTCTGTCTTCCGAGGAGGACCCAGAATATTGTATCTATCCTCTGATATGGCTATGACTGGAAACTTTAACTGACTGGTTCATTACAAATTGTGCTCCGCAGGTGCTGAAAGATCCTCACAGAGCTGAAGTCTATTATGAAAGAGCCATTTTAGCCAACCCAAGTGACGGAGAGGTGCTTGGAGCCTACGCGAAGCTCATTTGGGATGTGTACAAGGACGAGGATCGAGCGGGAAGATACTTCGATCAAGCTTTGGAAGCCAATCCAGATTGTTGGTAAGCCATACTATGTTTTGTGTGCACCTGTCATTTCACATCCTGTGTCGAGTATAATTTTGAGTTGATTTGTTAGTTCTCTGAGCCGTGCAGAGCGAGATCAGAGCATAATTGTAAGTTGTATTCTGGGTAGGTGGTGTGGAGCAAAGATGGAGTGGTTTTGTCCATGGTTGTGTTAGAATTAGACGAGCTGGAATTCTTCAGTTGGACTGACACTGTGGAATATTTTTCTGTTCTGAAGCTATCTGAATGCCGCATACGCCGCCTTTCTCTGGTCTTCGGAGGATGGACCTGAAGAAGAAGAATCTCCCAGTGACACCTCTTACAGTGACACCTACATCAACCACCCTGCGGTTTATGGGAACGTGGCTGCTGCCTCGGCTTAGATTCCAAATGCGAATGGCAGTTTCTTACGTGACCTCTCCTCAGGAACTCTGGGTTCATTTTGGGGTGTGATGATTCCTGTCCTGGAGAGACGAACTATTGGATCACAGCAGAAAAGCTTGGATGAAGCTGATGGACGTGCACCTGGTTTTGATTCTGTGCTCTCGTAGTCCGTGGAGCTCGTTTCAGGATAATGGCCTTAACCTTTGTACATTGTGCAGTGTAGGGTAGGTGTTTGTTCCACCTCAATTGGTTTTCATCACGCAGTTACTTAGATTTGTAGGCCTTCTTCTTTATCGAGCATATTGTATAATTCGGATTCGTGGATATGCGGTTGAAGTTTTGAGAGTTCAATTTATCCACGAGTAGCCATTAGTTCCGACTGTCCTGTAAAATCCTGTAGTTCTAATATTCATTTGTAGATTAGGAATTTAGTTTAAAACTTCTTGTAACTATTCATTTGATCTATCTGCACTGTATAGAATGTACTGGTTTCACTCCACGGCCCTGCTCTTTGTATATGCTGTATTGGTTGTATTTTGAATCTGAAACGATCGTTGTCCTGTGAAATTTGATTGTGCAACTCATTAGAAATGCTTCGTCTAGATGTTGAAATGTTACGCCACTATCGCTTAAGACTTCACGTCTGGAAAGGACCGCGAAGATGTATATTTAGAAAGTATGTATGTAGATCTATACAAGTTGAAATGGTCGGTGTGAGCAGTTCAACTCCGAGAAATCAGCAGCCGAGTTATCAAGGTAGTAGATAGTGAAGCATCCGAGAAATCAGCAGCCGAGTTATCAAAGTAGTAGATAGTGAAGCATCCATCTTCGAAAGCAACTATACGAGGAGAAAGAAACTACAGAGCAGACCTAGTTTGGACTGTTGTGAGTCCTTGGATGGTATTTATCTAAAGCAGAGGACAGGAATGCCGAAGCTGCAAGGGCAAACGCCCGGAACGCATCAATATCGTTCAAACTAACTGTTGCAAGACAGAAGATTACTGACTGTATGCATCGATTACACTCTTTTCATCTACTTGGAAAGCCTCGATATAAAGTTGATACAAATGCCCAGCAACATAATAGCCGCTGCCAGTCGATTGTTAACAGTCCGTTCTATCCTAACAGTCGTGAGAAATATATGTTCGTTCTTTAGAAAGGCCTCAGCACTCCGATTGTATTCACTACACGATCACTGCAGACTGTTGGACAGGCATGTTGACATATGTGGAAGAATCTCTGAATACATGAACTTAACCGTGTATATGACTACGCTATGATCTCTCTATAGTCAAAAGTTTACGGACTCGGAACGTGAATATACCTGTTGCGTCAAAACAGGCTCGAGGTTGATCATCAAGACCATTGACAGTGAAGGACTGATCAAGGTTTTACATCAACAGTGCCTTTGGACTTTAAGAACGGGCAGATCCGCTGGCAACGCAAAATCCGACTTCTTGACAAGGGACATGTTTCCGAGAATGAAAATCTGATCTCTGCAGGGAGTTAAATCTAGTGCATCTGTTTGGAAGAGAGTGAGTGGAATTTGGTGAAAATCGGTGAAGTTTATGCTTGTAAGTGAAGCTCTCTAGTCTCGGATTATGTGAGCAGCTGTCACGGGCATCCGAGCATATCGATGCTTCTTGCTGGCGTATGTATATTGATGAAATGAATGCACGGCATGAGGAGGTGGAAACAACAATCCTCACCTGAACGGATCCTGAAGAAGTAACTGCCACAAGGTCCTCTTGTACATTTGTTGTGCATAACATTCATCGAACTGCTGCAAGTTGGAAGCGAGTTCTTGTCGTCGTTGCTTTGAGATATTCCAGAGTCGCTCCCGAGCTTTGAGTCGTTGAATGATGACTGGAGTCCTCTTCAACATCATCATAACTTTCACGATCAGATTTCTGTCTTGGAAATTTTCTCCCTGACGTGAACTTGTTCCGGGAGCGCAATAGTATTCGTTGTGCCGAAAATTAATTACTGGAGGATTTCACGTTATGTTATGACAGTGATGGAGCCGTGTAGCGTATATAGATGCTGCACAGACAGAGATTCCCGGTACCTTGGACAACTACCAAATCCACACGGATGAAGCATGCTCAAACCTCCACACGGTTTTGATAGGCTTCGACTGCTTCAGAATTCACGTGCTTCCAAGATCTTCTGTGATGAAGCGATCAGCAGCGAAGGGGCAACTCGCTGGGATACCACGTTCGATGAAATTCACAGTTGATCCTTGGAAGAAACTACAGATTTTGACTGAATAGTTGAAAGAACGTAAATTACGATTTACAATAAAGTGATTCAGATGTTGGTTTGAATTCCACTCTACCATCTTTGTCCAGTGGACTTCAAACCAAATCAAAACTTTTCTATCCGTATCATTTCAAAGCAGTTGGTGTAGTGGACGCTTCTTTTGGCTCCGATCAACAATCAACACACAAACCAGACAAGACAATGATTGTCATGTGTAGCTTGTGGTGGTTAACTCCAAGTCGTGGCTCCAAAGGTTTTCAGGATTCAGAATTTTGTGACAAACGCTCTTTTGAGTGATTTCTTCGTTCATGTTCTTTCCCTCTGACTTTGGTCCGTGCTCTTCATGTCGCTCCCACTTACTGCGTGCAGAATACATCGGTGGCATACACACATGACGGTGCTCGCTACTTTACTGTTTGAGTTATCTCTGCGGATAGTTGTCAAATCAGTCGAGGCGTTTGTAGATGCCGAAAGCAAAATGCATTTGATCAAATCTGTCACAAAAAGTTGCTCGTGCCGAAAAGTCTTCAACCTGGTACATACAGATGATCATATTTCTACATGCCTTATTTGCTTAAAGATCGGTCGTCGTCACGCCAACAGATGACGACAGACAGATCCACGAAAATGACAGCAAGGAGGCTTGAATCGACGTTCAGAGGTAAATCCAGATTTTGACTGCATCATAGGATGGTCGTTGAAAGCAGAGTCAGTTTGACCCGTCGTATCTTCCGTTGACCAGCCATCCCAAAGCATGGTAGGCCAACAGAAGTTCAGAGGAGATGTCAGTCACGTCGACCGTGAGCATCTTCCAAGCAAATCCCGAGCTCGCTTGAGGTTTTACTTACACATTCAGTGAAATTCGTTGGATTCCAAGCAAGAACTGTTCCCACTTGTGCCTGTAAACGAGAAGACGCAGTAAAACAACAAAAAGTATCATTCTAGGAGAGGACTCGGAGTGGTGACAACATCCATTCGTGAACTTCTTTACTGCATTACTGGCCGGCCAGCGGTAGAGAAGCTTGAAAGAGCGAGCCAGTTCCTGCAATTGCATGTGTCGTGGTGGAAACTTCCAGAAACACGCTTACATACAAAGAAGCTTCGTTACATAAAACAATGGATTTACATGGATCAGCCAAAAGGTGTAGTTAATCTTACACGCTTAAGCCACCAGATCATCGAACTCATCCCATTCCAAATCTCTTTACACTATACATGGAAAGTCTTGTGTACGAGAAGTAACATCTGAAAAACGTAAAGAGATTTCATCTATTTGCCGGTACAACCTATCTGGACTCACTATCTTCTCGCTATTATAATCTGTCGTCGGTCATGAATCATAATCCTTCCCCTCTACTGAACTTTAAGGGATCTTAAATGCTAGCTTCATCGTCTCATACACGAAATAGCTGAAGGCAGCTGACGGTAAAACCTGCAAGGAAAACCACCAGAATGTATCGGTCAGCGGAGACATGACAGACCCAAGGAATGAATGAGACCTCTCAAAATCTTGCTCTCAAATGCCAATTCCAAGCACTTGCTTCACGATTTCGGCAGGAGTACTTACTTGAAGAGTGCTGGGGAAGAGGCCGGCGTACAAAGCTTTGATGCCGCCTTTCTGCAGCAGGCTTTGGAAGGTGCCGGCCATGCCCAGCTTGATGGCCGCGTGCTGCATCTGCTGAGCTCGGCGAACGACCTCAAAAGGATAGGTGACGGATTCAGCACAAGCGCCGGCTATGGCGCCGAAGAGCAGAGTCCTGACAGGGCCCAGCTCGGGCTGGGCCCAGGCCTCCTCGCCTCGCTCCTGGGCTTCCTTCATGCGCTGGCGCCTGGCTTTCAGCATGGCCTTGCCCTCGGGCGAGTTCAGGTAGTTGATCTTGAGCATGTCGTACACGCCGTAGAACACAGCCCCCGACGGCGCCATGCTCACCACCGCTGGCAGCAAGCCCTTGTACAGCGACAGCAGGCCCTCGGTTCGCACCATGTGCTGGAAGCACCCGATCATGCCGCCCAGGGCTTCCCCTCCCGGCGCCACCATCGTGGTCCGAATCTGCACACATCGCGCAGGCCAAATTCAGGATCGTATCCATCTGCACGCAGCAGATCTAGCAGCAGCAGCAGCAGCAGACCTGGACGAAGACTGCTCATTGAGACGGAAGCATTCACTCATTCATTCCCTGGACGAAGACTGCTCATCGAGACGGAAGCATTCACTCATTCATTCCCGCGATGCGATCGAGATGCTGAGGCAAAAGCGACCGGGTCCCGGCGGAATAAATCCAGCACAATGGATTGTGGAGGGGCCCGAGCCCAAGAATCGAGGTAATCAATCAAAGGGATTGGAATCGCGACAAGCTTGTGGCCACGAAATCCAGCAGACGATTCCATTCCACGCCTGCTTGGTCGATGTCCGGGGGGACAGTGAGCTGCGCATCTCCCTCGGGAGGGCTCAGCAGAAAACCTCATCATTCTCGCAGCTGGCCCTGACGTCGCACTTCCGAGCTCCAAAGCCGAAAGAATCCAGGGTCGCCATAGTTCACCCCCATTCATGCGCTCCACTGTTGCTCCACCCGAAGCCAGAAGCACAGCGCTTCAGACAGCTATGAGTTTGACAGCAGCAGCAGCAGCAGCATTTTGGGGCCCACATGAGCAGGAAGCGATCCGAGAATGATACCCCAGAGAATTGAACGAGATTCGGACTGACACGATCCTTCTCTGAGAGATTCATGGAAATTCAGAGCGAGCCCCGAGGGTCAGGAATGGAGGGAATGGATGGATTGACTTACGGTGTCGAGCGGGAAGCACAAGATGGTGGCCGTGACGCCGGCGGCCGCACCGGCCAAGAGGCGCTCGAGGTTGGTGACCTCGCTGCGGTCGCCCCACTTGAGCAGCTGATTTCGGTACGTGTCGTAGCAGAAGAAATTGACCGACTTGAAAGGCGCAGTGCGCAGCAGATTCACTCCGTTGCCTTTCCAAAACCCCCGCACGCCCTCGTTCACCAGAATCGTCTGCACCGTCGCCATCACGCTCCCTTGCGCCCCTCGCACCAGATACTCCAGCTTCAGCCTCTCCAGCGGCGCCACAATCGTTCTGCCATTCCACCACCACCAGCCATTGAACAAAATCAGAACGAGCACTCCACTCATGCCCACCGCAACAAAATTCACGAAATTCACGAGCACTTTCTCCACCACTGTCGTCGTCGACATAAGCTCTAGATTCTAACAAGGCACGACGAGCTTAATTTCAAAGCTTAATTTCAGAGCTTAATTCGGAGGTTGCAGAGTGAGTGAGCAGGCACCTCGAGACCATGGCGGCAATGGCGCCGGCCAGAAGATGCTGCGTGGTGCGGATGGCCTTGGTTCTGCCATTCTTCTCCGTCTTCTCGCTGCCGCCGGATTTTTTCTCGTTGCCACTCGGCACATTGCCTTTGAAAGAATCGATGCCTTTGCGCTTGGCCGACAATGCCAGCCCCAAGTGGTGCCGGCGGAGCGCGCCGAATTCTCGAGGAAATTGGTGGAAGAAATTCGACACTCCTCGGACCAACGAGGAGGTGGCAGCCACGAGCGGGGCGGGCACGAGAGCAGCAGGCGGCGGCGGCGGCTTGCGACGAGGGCCGCGATGGTCCTCGTCGCCTCGGCCTTCGTGCTCGACGCTGCGGCCGAACACTTTCCCGTCCGCCTCTCGAGGCTCTGCGCCATAGAAGCCTTTGCCCGAGTGCGAGAATGCCTGCACGGCCGAGGCGAGCGAGGCCACCGACGACAATCTGAGCACCGCGGGCGATGGCGATGGCGATGGCCTGGGTCGGCTTTGAGGCCAGATGCGAACGGGGGACGAGGAAGAGCAAGAGCATGAGCAGCCGGAGGAGGAAATTGAGGATGATGTCGAGGCGACGGAGCACTGGCGGGCGACGTGAGCTGGGAAAAACGAGGCCAGCGACGAGGTCGAGAATGGCGAAGGAATGAGCGCATTCGCGTAAGCTGAAGACGACGACGACGCCGAGGAGCATGAACAATTGGACCTCGTGCACGGGGCGGCGGCGGCAGAGGCCATCGGCTGCTGCAAGGCCGAGAACGAAACACAAGCGATGAATGACGATGATGATGGTGGTGGTTGTGTCGGCAGATTTCGATTCCTCGGCACGGCGATCGCTGACCGCCCCCTATGGCCAGCAGCAGCAGCTTCGGCAAAAAGAGGAGGCGATTGCACCTCGCTGCTGCTGCTGCTGCTGTTTCCCTGCACTAATCCCGAGCTACTCCTGCGCTTCCAATTCTCCTCCTCCATCGCTCCACCTGAACATTCACTCCTCGACCGATCCCGAACGAATGAATTGTGGCACCAAATGCTCCTCCTACTACGACTACTCCTGCCACCAGAGCATCATCATCATGCTCACAGCCACAAGACCTGCCAAGCTACTAGCTCAAGCTAGCTTGAGCTCGCTCTGCTCTCGGCGGCGGCAGGGCAGAGTCCAATTGAACATCCACAGAGACGGAAAAACAGAGAGTGCGATGATCTATGGAGAGCATGGGTTGCGAGGTGGAGGTGGTCGGATCGATTCACCGTTTCGTGCAGACGAGAGGCGAAAGCCATTCGGCAATGCGAGCAATTGCGACTCCGCGAGACTCGGCCTCATGAAAATCTGCAGCCATCGCGCATCTTCAAATAGCCCGCGCACCGCTCGCTCTGCAATTCCGGCCCCCGCGAGCGGTTGAATGCGCCCCGACGAGCGCGACGAAGGTCCTCTCCACGGGCAAACGTCGTCAACCGGTCAGTCCAGTCCAGTCCGGCGACCGTCGGTCCGGACCTGCAGGCGAAACCTCCTGGATTAGACTGACACGCGGTTCGGAGCCGCACAATCTCATGATTGTGAGCCCTTCTGGCCCCCCCCCCCCTCCCCCCCCCCCCCCCCCCCCCCAAACCTCCGCTTTCCGAGCCTCCGTGGCACGGGGCCACTGACCGCTCGGCCGCTTCGCGCTTTTCTACACGAAAATGGAAACGGATGACGTCGTACGATAATCTCGTGCCGATGTCTCCGAGCCTTGTGCGTTACAGATTATTGATTATTCCGGTTCTGTCAAGAATCTCTCCGATGAGTTGATTTTATTCGCGAATTTATTGAATAGTGTACGATATGAAGTTGACGACGGCCGGAGAGTTGTTGCTGCAGGAACCCAGCCAAGTTAAAATATATTTCGGAAATGATTTTTGTTTTATCATGTATATAATTTCATTTCCTAATATGATTATCATTATGTTCATGTTTTAAGACGAGAAGCTAGTCTTGACTGCTTCAATGAGAATGGCATCCAGTCGCTGGAATTTACAGAAGTTGAACAGACAATGGTACTGATGATGATAAGAGATACACAGTCTTGGAGCTGAAAGAGGACGTATGAAAATGCCACATTTTTTGCACCTGGAAATGGTTCTTGATGCTTCCCGCTGTTGGAGTCCAAAACTAAATTTGGGATATCCAAAAGAATCATGTTCGTTGGTTTTCCATTGTGTTTTGATTCTTACGAAGGCAGTCCAAAACTTCGGCCCGAAACGCATGGCATGAACATTGGAAGATTAAAAACATCACAAGATCAAGATAATTTCTTTTTGAATCGTTTGACACTTCAAACTCACAAAGTCATAGTTGGAGGTACAACGATATTTGTAAGCAAAGTAGGGGTTACATTTTCCAATATTGCAAAAATCATGAGAGGCTGCCTACAAGTTTCAGTCTAAACGAGACAAAGCATATGTCTTCTTATATAATATCAAAAAATGCCACACGCATCTTACTTAAAAAAAACAATTGCAACCCTATGAAGATACGTCTTTCAGAAATAAAAGCACTACGTAAGGAGATTAAAACGTCATGTAATCAATCTCAAGAACTCTTGACGTCTGGCTTCTTCACCTCTTTAAAATCACACATAGAATCACGTCAACGCTTTTTTTCATAAATAGCTTACCTTTTGCTTGTAAATATTTCTGCGTAATGTTAAAAATCTTTGATCATTTACGTACGAAGGAACTCCTTATGATAATTACTTGAAATCAAAATCCCCAATGAGTCAGATTTGCACATATGAAGACCTCATTCACTCGAAAATATTACTACAGAAAAGTATAATTGATTTTGAAATATATGTATGTATAGATTGAATAAAATGAAGGTGACATATAGTGATACTTAATTTAAACTATTTTTCGTATAAAAATGGATTTTTCTTAATAGTTTTGAAAATGAGGGTTTATTTCATACAGAATAGAAACTCTCATGCGTTCAAAATCTCTTGATTATATTCATAGATATTATAATGATAGAAAATTTTATTCGTATATTATTTAAAAAAATATTTACACCTATAAAAATTTCAAAAAACATTAACTAGGTTTAAAGGTTACAGTAGTACTAGTTAAAAGTGGATCCATTACTCAAATTTTAAAGCAAATCTGAACAATCTCTTGTATATACCCCACATAAGTAGCTTATATATTATATTTCTTTGACCTCGATTTAATGAAAGAAAAATTTCTTAACTGAAAAACAATGATTTGTAACTGCATCGTGCATTGAAAGTAGTTGCTACTTCCACAACTTTTATCATTTTAGCCTCTGAACACTCCGTTTGATGTATGATTTGATGCTACAAGATCTTTTTTTGGTCGGGCCAACTTTTTTGTCAAGAGTACATGATAGATTCAAGAAAATTTAATAAACTTTGTCAAAATAAAAAAAAACGATGATACGATAAGAAAGATTGGCATTTGGTCCGACAACAATATCATTGGAAGGAAGAAAAGACCAAGACTCGTTTTAAATTCTGAAGGATGGGCGGGGATCACGGCCTCCACCTTCCGGTGGGACCTTTATTTGATCATGATAGAGTATACAACTTCACTCAAACCACCATGTTCTCCGCCATCCCCTCTATTTTCGTGTCGATTGTAATAATATTTTGGGCTCTCCCCAATAAGGACATGTTAGTCCGATTTCTCAATTGTGCCCTGGTTGAGGCTACAATATTCTCATATATATTATTCGAGCGCTTGAAACAATTGAGGACCAATGCAATCGGCCTTGATTCATCGAATATAATATCATGGGCTAGGTAAAACGCCCAAAAATAATTTAATTACCTGGAGCTTGATTATCATATCAATGTGTCATAAAGAAATTAGCTAATCAGCGTCAGGAGAAGAGCCGTGCCATATATTTATTTGTCCATAGAGCTATACTTGTCCGCTACTTGTGACTCGACCAGAGAGAATAATCTGCAGGGTCTGGAACCGAGCCGACGAACCTGGGGAAATGGCTGGGCTCGGAGAATCTTCCGAACCTGTATCTTCTTAACCTTTCCAGGAGATTCTCTCGACACCGACCTCCCGTGGTTCGAACCAGCCTCTGCGGTTCCAGAGCGGAACGCACTCTTCTGCGTAGGAGATCGTCGCGGCAAGAGCGAACAGCGTCGTAACCTTTGCAGGCGATTCGCTCGACACCGACCGCGGTTCGAACCAGCCTCGCGGGTTCGAGCCAACAGCACGATAATGCAATGAAGCATGGAATGAGTCGCGTGAACTTTCAGACGTGGCGCATCCACTGATCCACTGATTCACCAGGTCCCATGAGATTCTTCGATCATTCTTCACTTTCTCGGTGACGCACGCACAGCTCTGTTGCTCATACTGCATGTGTGACTGAGCAGTTTCAGATCTCGTAACCGACATCGATTCGTCTGTCAAGTACAGTACGCAGAGCCTCTGACCAACTTCTGGTGCACACAAGTGGATTATTATGAAATTCAACTTATCCTGTAAACTTCGTGGTGAGAATCACTTCTAAGCAAAAAGGTGTAGTTCCAGGAGGACATGTGCATGGTCTACGATAAATAAGGGGAGACCGTGCAACGTGTGTATTGAGTTTTATGAGTTTAATCGGATTGTATAGAGAATTATAACTTCTCGACCAAGTGAGATATGAACCACTCAAGGAAATTTATCTGGATGTGTTCTTTTGAAATAAGGAACTGATTTTCCTTTTAACTGTAGTTTGAAACAAGATATAGGTTGAAAATGGACTTTTATTCCTTATTCCAAAGTCAAGAATTGATGAGCAGGAGCCTTCTGCTCCAAATGTTACGGAGGTGATGCTCCTTAAGTGAAGACTGAAACTCCCAAAGACGATCCGTAGACTTAACCAAAGTTGGTTGTAAATGTTTCCTGGAACCGATACGTCTGAGAAGAAATGTTCGTGTGTAAAGGAACCAACAGATGGGGTAATGCTATGATTTAGTTTTTTTTTTTATTCAAGATGAATAAAATTGCAATTATTTTAAAACAAATGAAGTTTCGTCCTTAGTTTCTTCGTCTCCTCAAGTAATGTTACTTGGCTTACATTTAAATTCTATAACAAAGACCACATAGTAGAATAAAGAGTAGTATGAAATACCCCATCTAGTAGATAGATGGGGTCACAAATAGAAGTAGACACAACAGTAGCATGGTACGAGCTCCAGTAACAGTACGATGAAAGATATGGTAAATAACATCCAACATATAATATATTTTGTTGTCAAACTTATTACAACATGAGCATTTGAACACTCATAGTCTAAAGGTACTGATGTACTGTGGAATGCCCGTCAAGGGCTTTCTGTAGAGAACCAAGATAATGTTATTTTATATATGTTACACGAGAAGCTAGAGATAGTGAAGTTTACTATTCAGTACAGTGAACGTAGTGAACATAGTATAGTGAAGTTTACTCTCTCCTAGTTTGCTAGGATCTCTTTCACGGGGAGGTAAATATATAGAGTGGCATATAAATCCAATTCTAAAAGAAAAGATTAATTTAGTATCTCCAGTCCAAACGTTCAACCTAATCCAAATTTACTTCCTTCCATTGCAGTCTACAAGACACATGGTGCGTTCCATACAACCGTCAAAACCACAGTAGAAAACACAAGAATTTTATATTTGAAATATGCAACAGCTTTAAGAGTATGTCCACATAGAGTACAAGTGGCGAATAGAAGAAGAATAACTCCCTCTTGTGAAAATTTATCCTGAAAGAAGAAAAAAGAATATGAATCGCCACAAGACTGAATGTAAAAAATAATAATATGAATTGCCACAAGACTAGATGAGAAAAATAGTCATTTGTCCACCGGACTCTTTACAGAGAGATGCATGTGAGAGTTAAAAGCAGTCTCAGTTTTCAGCCTCCAACACAATCCAACCTGGAAGGATAAATACAAATGCTTATGTGTCCAACAGATCTGCCTGATAATTTTGTGGTATGGACGAAGACGGCTGGAAATGTGAACTTTGTCGCAGAACTGGAAATGTGTACATATTGTCTGTCGTTCTGCGCATATTTTACCAGTGGCATTAAGATTCTCTGAATAACACTTTGTCTAATGCCTGTAATTCTGATTAACACGTAAATGAGTCAACTAACAACAAAATCTCACGTTTATGTAACCAAGATCGAAGTAAGAATGGAACTTCATAAGAGATGCAACCATGTAACAACAGTCTCAGAAAATATCAATGTGAAACTGATACAAAAACTTCCAAAGCCACAAGAGTGTAGAGAATATGAGGCAAAAGTGACTCTCCTAGCGTCTACATGGTAGGCGACTGAGCGTACACCATGTGCTCGTCATGTGATCATCGGCCATGGCGTTCATGGAACACGTGCGTATCGACAAGTTT